TAATATTAATAATAATTTTTATTTTAAATTAAATAAAATATTTATATAAATTATTATTTTTTATTATATTAATAATATACTTATATTATTAATAATAATATTAAAATTTATTAAAAAATAAAAATAAAAATTATAAGTTTTATAATAATATTTAATTTAATATTTTAATGTAATTAACCGTTATATTATTTAATTTTTTATTATTTAATTAATAAGAAATTTAAAATTTTATAATATATTATATTAATATATTATTAATTATTATCATTTATTTTTTTTTAATTAACTTATTACATTATTATATTGATATTTTAAATATTTTTTATTATTTTATTTGCGAAAATTTAACACGATAATATTTTTAAATTTTAAAATATTTTAAATAAATATATATTATAATATTATTAAAATTTTTAATTTTTTTTATTTTTATTATATTAATTTATATTTAATATTATTATTATTTAATATAAATATTATAAATATATATTAATAAATAAAATAATATAATTTTATTAAACTTTTAAAATAATAACGTTTTATTTTTAATGTTATATTAATTTAATTATTTATTATAAAATAAACTTTATTATTAAAAAAATAATTTTATAATTACGTAAAAAACTTTAAACGATTTATATATTTAATATTAAAATTTTTAATATATATATATATAAAACTTTTTTTATTTACTTTATTTAAAATTAATTATTAATTAAAAATTAAATATTTTTATTTTAATAATTTAAATAAATAATAAGTTTTAATAATGTTTAATAAATATAATATTTAATAAATTTTTTTAAATTTTTTAATTATATTATAATATTTATTATAATTATAATTATTTAATATAATTATAATTAATTATATTTAAATAAAAAAAATTAAATATATTTATTAATTTTATATTTTTATATTTTCATGTTTTTATTTTATTTTTTATTTTTTTATATTATTAATATTAAAATAAATATTTTTTAAATAAGTTATTAATTTATAATGTTTTTTATATTATTAACGTTATAATATTTTAAGATTTTACCGTATATTTTATTATAAAACGGATTAAAATATTTAAAAATATAATAATATTATTATATAAACATAAAATTATATTTATTTATTTATAAAAAATAAAAATAAAATTATTTAATTATATATATAAAACCTTTATATATAAAAAAACTTTTAATATATTTTTTAATTTATTTATATTAAAATATTTTTATATTTTAATATTATATTTTTTATATTTTTAATATTTTAATGTTAAAATATTTTTTAAATATTAAATTTTTAATTTATTTTTTATATTTTTTTATTTTTATTAATATATATTTATTTTTTTATTTAAACATTATAAATAAATAATAATAAATATAAAGTAAAGTTAAAAATAAAATAAAAAAAATTATTTCCCGGGATTAATTAATTATTTATTATAAATCGATATAATATTATATTAAATTTAATATTTATAATAATTTTAAAACGGTTTTATTATATGTTTTAAATATTTTATTAATTAAATTTTATATTAATATAATTATAAATATATTATATATTATTAATTTAAATTTTTATTTAAATTATAATTTATAAAAAAGTTATATATTAAAAGTTTTATAATAATAAATAAATTTTTAAATTATAATTTAATAATTTTATATAATTAATTAATAAATAATAAAATTTATATAATGCGAATTTAATATTATTAATTAATTTATAAAATTTAATTATAAATAAAAAAATTTTAAAATAAATTTAAATTTAATTAAATATAATAATTTTAAATTAATTAATATAAAAAAATAAATATATATATATAAAAAGTTTAAAAAATATTTATTTTAAAAATAATAAAATAAATTTATATAATTTATAATTTAATATTATTAAAATATATATTAATAAAATAAAATATAATTATATAAAATATTTAAATATAAATATTTATATATTTTAAAAAATTAAATTAAATAAAATAATATAATTAATTATATTAATGTTTAATATATTTTTTATTATAAAAAAAATTTATTATTTATAATATTATTTTATAATTATAAAATAATTATTTAAATAATAATTTTTTTATTAATTAAATATATTATTAATTAAAATTATTTTTATATATAAATATTATATTAAATTATATATAATTTTTAAAAATTAATTATTTTTAAAATTAATAATATATTAAAATAAATATTATATTAAAAAAATTATTATATTTATTATAAAATTAAATTATAAAATTAATATTATATTTTAATTAATATAATATAAATAAAAAAAATATTTAAAAAAAATAATTAAATTATTAAAATTAAATTTATTTATAAATAAATATTATATATAAAAATAAAAAAATATTAATAAATAAAATTTAATTATTAAAATAATATTATATTTATTATAAATATAATATTAAATATAAAAATATATTAATTATAAATTAAAATTATATAATTAAATAAATATTAATTATAAAAATAATATTATTTTTAAAATTTAATTAATATTTATTATTATATTATATATAAAATATAATTTATATTTTATTAATATAATAATATATAATATTATTTTAAAATAAATATTATTTTAAAATAAAAACATTTTAATTATATTATAATTTTTAAATTAAAACGGTAAATTAAATATAAAATAATTTTATAATTTAAAACGATAATTATTACGAAAATTTTATTTTATATATTATAATTTTTAACTTATATTTATTTTAAAATAATTTCGGAAAACGGATATAATTACTATAAGCATTTTCAAATACCCCCTTGCTGTGCCAAGGTAGGTGCTTAATGTACCTGAGATGTACTTAGGTATATACGTACCTGAATATGTGTGTATGTACATAGGTACCAGGTATGTAAATGCAAGTTAACATTCATGCTCATCAATCTGGGCCCCTCTAGATCTCATCGAAGTTACATATGAATGGAATTGTTCGGTTGCGCTGCATTCCAGCGACGCCGAATCTCCCCACAATCCTTAATTCGTTGGTACCGGAACATGGCGCGGCGCCTGCGAGCAGCCTGGGAATTGTAAATTAACCGGAAACATTCGGACAGCTCTAGACATCGACTCACCTGGACTTTTTCAAAAGTCAACATTCGGAAGTCATCGAACCTAGGTAGATGTTTTACATAGCTCGTAGTAAGCACCACCATCGGGAAATCGTGCATCTCTACCTGACGGAATTAGACGCGGAGGTAAGGCCTCCAGTGGTTACGAAGTATCTGAAGTATCTGCAGTACCACGAGACTCCAACTCTAGGATCTACGTCATTGTGCATGAAGTAGAGACGGAAATGTGGGGGTTTGTATCTCGGGGTAAGATGGAGCAGGATGGGGGGAGCCAGGGACCTGTGGTAGTGGGATTTGTTTGGGGGTTGCACTAAGAGGCTGAAAGATGGGGAAATAGAAACAAGCAACATTGAACAAGCAAACAAGCTTGACTTGGCAGACTTGGCTCAACTTGGTAACTCGACTATTATATTGCGGGGTTGCCTTCCCCTGATAAGTCAAGACTACCGTAAGCTAATGACGCGTTTTCGTACTTAATCATATCCTACATGGCAAGTGCTGTACTGCTATGTGTAGTCACTTTAGCTAAGGCAATTGCCAACAAGTAAAGGAAGACAAACATGGCAAGTAAGTACTAGTATATGATCCACTGAAGAAGACGCACGTTATTTAACCCAAACATACATAGCTCAGCCTACCTACCTCTTTGTTTTGTCCGCATCATTCATAGATGTCAGAAATCAGAAATGACCAGAAAAGATCAGGAATGAAATCCATTCGCCCACGTGGTTGTAGCTGCATTCTTTTGCTGCTAGTAATTGCAGACGGCGGCATTACTTTATGCGAGTTAGCGAACTTCCTACTGTCAGGCCAATTATATCCCAGCGCATAATAGCTTCCCGGCAAAGAGTGCCGGAAACTTAAAAGGATAATCCAGGCACGGTCAGGGGATTTTCAGGGGCACTGACTAAGCACATATATCAATCTATCTCGAGCAGGGAAAAATTAATTAAAACGAAAAAAAATACTTCAGTTCTTACAGTTCAAAATGAACTCGTAACTCGAATCCTACATCTACACCTAAGTCAGCACTCTAAGACATTGGTAGCATTCCGGCTCGGTATTCGGAATGCCGAAGCTTATACGAAATGACATATAAGCTTGATACGGCCCTATGCAGGACGAGTGTAAAGAGAGGGAATTTTCTTATTTGGCCTCCTGGTCTTGGCCTTTCTCATTTTTTACAAGTTGTTCGGTCAGCTTTACAGCACCAAATGCTACTCGAGAATCCTTCGAAAAAAAGCACTTACCATCAGACGTCTCGATGTGACACCCGGATGAGACCCGACCATTCACGCCATGCATGGGCTTGCACCAGCGTGGAAATTTTATCACCTGCTTTACAGTGCTACCCACCTCGTCAAGATTACCTGACATACGCAAGAAACACGAGATTTTATACCATTTAGCCTTTTATGTCTTGTCTCAGACCCGATATATCTTCTTCTCGCTCAGCTATGCTATGTAAGGGATGTCTTGGGCATCAAAATTGCGGGAATTATATCTCGCACGTTTTCTCCCGTCGCGCATCGAACATACATATCCGTTGCAACGTTCTTACGATTGCGAAATCGTTGAAAACGGGAGCCGGGAAAGCAGATCCTAACGGGCTCGGCCAGGTCCACGCAAAATTTTCACACCGCCACCTCAACAGCAGTGACACGGTCGATCCGATATCCAGGGGACACCACTTGCGCACAAGTTGCAATATGTGGCTTTCATATACCTATCCCAGTGGACGACAACGGATGTTTTACCCGTTTCTTCGAAAGACTCATTCATCCTATGCGTAAGGAAGGACGAGAAGGACGAGAAGCAAAGATTTCGCCATGATTCAGCCAAGGAACTAATGGCAAATTGAGCTGTTCTGAACCGTGGCATTACACCAGGTTATGACAGTCAAGGCCTTAGTATTAGATACCTAGTGTTTTCTATAGCCGAGTCGAGAGAAAGGGGCCTCGCTACATTTCCGAAGCTTAGACTTTAAGATGGTCTTCCTTCCGAAGCTTCCCTAACATGACCTGCAAATGCACCGTCCCATGTTCTCCGGCTTCTAATTCCTCTACCTTACCCCATTTCTTCTCCAAATCATTGATAGCGTCGGCCAGGTTAAAACGAACGAGGAACCGATGCACGGCCGCACACGCGCTGTCAAGGGCTCCAACAATCCAGGCATGATGCATGCTCGCCGCCTCGCCCACGATATGGAACCTACTATCGGCCGTTGGCCGCGAGAGGTAAGGGTACAGGTTGCTAAACTGGCCGGGGCCAAAGAGAGCAAAAGCGCCGGCGGTCGTCGGGTCGTGGGACCACGAGTATGCGTGGTAAACACCCGTGTATAAACTTTTGATGCGTTCGTACGTCATTTTCGGTGCATGCAACCTGGCCAGATTTTGCAGGATCAGTTCGACGAGCTCATCCTCCTGTCGATCAACAAGCGACCCCATGCGGTTGGCGTCTTGCGCCCACGTATAAGATGCCAGCAGAACGGCGGGCTTATCGCGGCCATCTTTGAGGTTGTATGATGGATAGACGCAACTCCGCAGAGGCAGATCAGTCGAGGCGACGCCGCCTGCAATGATACCGCAGTCGACGATCCACCAAGGATAGCTGAACTGGAGAGCCACCTTGACTGAGTCGTCGTAGTGCAAGCTGCGTATGGCGTCCTTCTGGGATGGGTGTAGTTCGAGCCCGCGTAGGTCCATGCGGGCTAGGCAGCCTAGGGCCGGAGTAGCAAAGACGGTGCTGTAGCCCTGGCGCGGAGCGGGCTCGTCAGCACACTTGACTGTCAACATGTCGCCGTCTTCGTGATCGATGGAGATACTCTCTACTCTCTTTTCTGTTTGAATCTCGGTCTTAATTCCATTGCGCATGGCATCGCTAAGGAGAGTAGTGCCGCCATCGATGCAGTACCAATCGGGCGTCCCGGGGTAATCGAAGTCAAGGGAGTCCATGACGCTCTCGGAGAACGCCTGATCAAACAGGTTAGTTGATGTGTTCATCGTTTCCATCCATTGAATGGAGAAAAAGTCGTAGCTCGGTTGCTTCCCGTCGGGACCACCCCTCTTTAGGAACTCCCGAGTACTAAAGTCGTCGACCTCCATGAGCTCGGCGAAGCCTTCTTTGAAGTTCTCTACTAACTTTTCCTTGTATGGACCGAAAGCCGCTTCTAAAATATTGTTGACATTATCCACTACATCGTCAGAAACGGGGCCGCCGTTTTTGATGCTGACCTGGTAGGGGTCAGAACTACTTTCGTCGGAGAAGTGATCGTTGAACAGGTCACGAGTTTCCGGGCGGTTCAGGTAGTAGGGAATTAACGGCATGCCGGTAAGCTTGAATAAATCGAAAGTCCGCTTCATAATGGGAATGTCAGGGAAACGCATGGCGCCGATATCATAGTAGTCATGCGGCGTTTCGCTGAATTTGTGGGTGTAAACGCGACCGCCGATTCTGGAGTTGGCCTCAAGGATGTCGTAAGTGGGATTACGGTTAGGCTCTCCAGGATCATTGCAATGTAAAGGCCTGTGATACCGGCGCCCAATATGCACACCTTACATGATGGAGTATCATTGCCTCAGACTGTCCTCTTGCCATCTTTATGGTTTATATCTCGATGCAGTTTGTTGTGAGTCTATTACAAATTATCAGGCTCCTTTTTCTGAAAGGCGTTAATTTCGTAGAGTTCCTCACGAACTACCTTAGTACAAAGCCCCGGAGACCGTCTCTCGAGCTTCCGTATTCGATCACCCGCCTGTACGACCATGGCGTACCTCAGCGCTGACTTCTACATTAAAGGCTGAGCTGATCATTCCCGAACGGTACAGGTGTGCATTTTAGCTATATCTAAAATGAAATTATCGCTATCCGACAATGCCGAGCCCGCGGAGACTGTTTTGACGACTTCCACGGCTCTATAGTATACGTTATCTTTTCAGGCAGTGTAATGATGTAAGTGGTGGTGATGATGGTGTAAGCGGCGATCAGCGTGCTATCTAATAGATATACTAATGAAACCCTTTTTCAATAGAACGGCTCTCTATTACAACTTATCCATATCATCTAATGGATAATTTTCTATGAGTTAACATGAGCTCTAAAGTATATGAAGTGGTTGTCGTCGGAGGCGGCCCCGTCGGGCTTGCAGCCACATATGAAGTAGCCAAGACAGGGGCTAAAGTCATTGTCCTCGAGCAAAACAACTTCTTTAACCATGCTGGTAGCTCCAACGACCTAGCTCGTATGTTCCGAACCATGTGAGCCACACCTCCAGTTCTTATTTTCCCAGTGGGGGGGAGGGGGTTCGTGCCCTTTGCCTAAACTAATGGCGTCCCTGATAGGTACACGGAAGACGTCATGGCCGATCTAGCTGAAAAGGCTATGGGCTTCTGGGACAATCTCGAGAAGGACTCAGGAACAATTCTTCGATGGATGACCGGCCTCCTCAACTTTGGAGATAAAGAATATGGTAATAACACACCAGAAGGTCAGTGGTTCTTTTATTGTAGCGACAGCCTGCAAATCAGACGGTTCACACCCTACAGGAACGTTGTTGGGTCCGATTGATAATCTCAAAAAGCACGGCATGCCGTACAAGGAATGTAAGTAAGAATCCTAAAAAGGCCTATCAGGAATACATTATTCTAAGATTCTCGTTTCAGGGACCGCCAAGGAAATCGAGGCTCGCTACCCCTTCAAGAACTTGCCCGCTGAATGGACCGGTCTCTATGCTTACGACAATGGTATCATCAATGTCCAACGTCTCTTGCGGACCTTGCTAAGCCTAGCCAAAGCTTATGGCGCTGAGGCAAGGCAAAATACGCAAGTCAAAAGAATTTGTCCGCCTGAGCGTGGCAATAGCACTTGGAAGGTCCACACGAACTCCGCCGAAACAAATTATACCGTAATCGAGGCAAAGAAGATAATTATTGCATCGGGTAGCTACATCAACGATATACTAAAGCCAAGCTTCGATATATCCCTCGATCTTGACATTTGGGAGATGGCGGTCAGCTATTTTAATTGCAAAGCTGGACCGGGTGGGACAATCTTTCCCAGTACGCATCCCATCCTCTTGTCTTACTATAACCGTCATTACTACTAACACGGCATACCACAGGCATGTGGTATCAATTCGCCCCCCCAAAAGGAGACAGATCCCAGCTCTTCTACGGCTTCCCCACTCTGCCTTGGGGCCCTCCCAACGTCACGCGTATTGCCATTGATGCTGCCACTCGCCGGATCAAGGATCCCAGCAATAGATTGACGAATGTCGTTAATCCCGACGACATTTCTGACGTACAGCAATTCATAAAAGAACACGTTGTCGGCGTTGACTCCACGGTCCCGGCTTCTACCACGAGTTGCTTGCAGACCAACGTCTTTGGTTCGTGCCCTTTAGAATTTGGATTTTCTATCGGCGTACTGACTTACCGCGACGCAGACAATATGTTCGTCCTCGATTTCATACCGCAGAAGCACCTGAAAGATGGTCCGCCCAAGAGCGTTGTGGTCTTCACGGCTGGCTGGGCCATGAAGTTTGTGCCTTTACTCGGCAAGGCCTTGGCAGATATGAGTCTTAAAGGGGAGTCTGACCACACCCGACCAGAGTTTAAAATTGACCGCAAAAATCAAGTTACGGGTAGGAGCATCATTGTTAGTAACGACAAGCCAGATGAGCAGCCGAAGAGTTCATTTGATACTTTGGAGAAGCAAGCATCGGGCTCGTCTATCAAGGGACTCCACAATACAGGCTTATCCCTTTAATTGGCATAAGACTACAGTCTCCATAAAACCGGTAACTGTACATCAGCGATAGCGCAGGCCTCTTAAGCCTGTAAGCGTTGAGGCTCTCACAGCGATCTTCAGAGACGTCTAACCAACTAGAAGTAGGATTTTGTGGGTGCCAGTGGAGCTCAGGGGTTGATGGAAGTACAGTTACTAATCGTGGCGGAGCTGTAGTCTTATGCCAACTAAAGGGATAGGAATTTGCTACAAATCCAAGATAGCTCCACTCACTCTATAATAAAGAATCCGGTGATGGGGTCTGTATCGAAGGAAAATGTTACCTGCAACGTGAGGGAGAAATAATATCTTCTAACATCGAATTAAGTTCAACCAGAAGACTGCCCTCTAAGAGGTTTAAATCAACTATTGGGTTTTCCAGTCCGATCGCCATTTATTTATCGTTGTAGAGTTGAACAGCTCTAAAAGGCGAGCCCCATCTCAGTATTCGCTGGAGCACCCCGGAAATAGGGGTTGGTGGCACGTGCGTGACCCTGTGTTGTTTGAGCCGCCAGTGAACCCCGTGTATGGATGTACATGGATGTCGTTGTATTCCAGTTCCTTAAATTAGAGCTGCCTCTATACTATAATTAAAAGGTTCAAATCGATCAGAAGGCCTTGCTATAACGTATAGGAGATTATGGGTGAAGCGGCGGAAGTCAAGGCCTACCTCTCATTATGTGTCGATTTGTTAGTATGTAAAAGTTCGTTATCCGTCCATGGGCCATGATAGCATCGTATATCTTTACGTGAGTCATCATATTTGTATATAGATACGTACCTATCTACGTAGGTACAAGGGTTTTCCAGTGCGACTGCACTTGACAGCCTTGTACATGGAAAGGTCATAGCTTGGTTGCCAGGTGAAGTAGAAGGCTTAAATACCTATGAAACAAGTTGTTTTCCAAGCTTGATCACTAGAAAGTTCCCAAGAATTAGCCACTTGGTGTAATAGTCTGGTAACATGATAGCTAGAAAAACTCAAGTTAGTTTTTCGTAGGTGTTGGGTTCGAATCCACTCCACGGTGTCCGGCGGCAGCTGATGGCAAAGCTGTTCAGGTCAACGACGCTGGGATTCGAATTCACACTGAGCTTTTTTGCTATTTCTGATTTCTCTTTTTCTTTTTCACCCACCCCCTAATTCTCTCTCCTTTGGTATCATCATGATCTCGAGGGGAACCAGCCACGCATCGTCAAAAACTTGACTTAAAATAAATTCAGAATAAACATAGCATTATCACAAACTTCCCAATATTCTCGCATCGTAACCATTTTCATCAATACTTGCTACACGGGAATATTAGGGGTTAGCTAGACCCGTACCCGTAGCTCAAGCTTCCTTTTTTTTGCTGAAGTACCACTAGAGTTTGGTTCCTTCAATGCTATTACATGTGCACGATACGTTCTAGACATCAACCCTTCAAGAACCAAAAAATGACTTACCTATGCACTCCTACCACTTACTCCATTCTCACCTAATAGTCCATTTACTGGCTCCCTCCGACGACACAGAAATGTCTAGTCCTACATTCCGGTTCCGACTATAACAAGTACATAATCTATCTAAAACTGCGTCTATGTCAATTTTTTCATAAAATAGCGTATTTACAAAGCTATTCGGGATACTATGACAACAAAAACAAAGGAGGTGGGTGGAAGTAAGGGTGTCACATGATCGTCAAAAAAGGGGCCATGGCAAGCTTACCTAATTACATACTACTTGAAGCATTAAAAGGAGGCAAAGTGTAGGACTCCCCTAACAATGTCATCTTATTGAGAGTGGAACCTGTATCGCCAGTATTTTAATCCACTCTAGATTATCGCCGTTCCTACCTACATACACAGATGGTTTCGTTTACATGATTAGGGAGTTCTAGTCTTCTTTGAAATATTTGTCATAGACTTCAGATGAACTGGATATCAATTCTATCCTCCCATGACTGCCACTCCTCTATGTAACAACAGGGGCCAATCTTAAAGAATGCCTCGATACCAGACAGTGCTTGTCTCCACATTTTTTAGTCATCAAATACCAATGCGGCCTAGGTAACATAGGTAATAAATCTAACGCCCTTGTATATCCATGAGTACCCTCGAGCGAGCACGACAATCCTATTTCACAATGTAAACCCGTAGCATCTAAACACAGCGTAACCCTTTCTGCCTTCCTCATCATCCATGTCATGCCTTTCCTTGCTCTCGACATGTATATAAGTTCATAAACCCGGACCCAGACCTCCACTAATGCAAATGCAAACACATACAGCCGCACCAACCCTACTGATGTGAACCCCCAATGCCAACCAATATCGCACCTTATCGGCCAGAGTTATTTACTCTAGGAAATAGCTTGTATGCTGTTTTTACGAGCTGAGCAAATCCCTAACACTCATGCCTCTGCCCGGCCCGGTACTCGACGTTCCCCTGCGATCAACGTTGAGCATCAGGAGGGCCGCAGATGCCTCTTGATCTATCTCCTGCTGAGGTCTTAAAGCAGGACTCGTAATCGTCGAATGTGATGTGGACGCAGGCCCGACATGTGGTGGATATCCCTGGGGACCGAAAGCGGGAGAAGTAGTAGACGGCCCACTATAACTATAGTGGCGGTATTCTGTAGACACCGATGAGTAGGAATGCTGCCTTCCTCGTGCATCTTGCGCCACCAACGCTGGCGATATAGATGATTGATTGGAATGAGCAGGTGTCTGCGCGCAGACCGGCGAGGGCGCTTCCGAGTTCGTCATTTCAACGTCTTCTTGGCCCTCCTCCTCCTCGTCTTCCTTATCCTCCTCCATGTCATATGCATCTTGATCATTGGATGGTGGGAGTTTGAAGTGGGGTGGAGCTGGAGTTGTTGATTGATCCTTGCGTTGTTCCTTCAACTTAGAGATACAGTCTTCAAGGTATCTCACATATTCAATCGAAGCCTAAAGGGGTGATCACATATTAGTACAAAATGCATATGCGACGGAGATATCCTCCAGACGTACTTGGAGAATAGCGAGCTTGTGCATCTCGCCCGTGCAGGCGGGTATCAAGCCCTTCAGCACCGCAAATTCTTCATTCATCTTCGATCGTCGCCGCCGCTCAATCAAGCTATGTGCCGTCTTCCTCGCAATCTTTCTACCCGCAGCGCTAGTCGCCGACGGCTGCTTCTTCTTAGAGCCGGCACCACCAGCACTTTTTCCGGTGTTCGTAGTAACCGTCTTGTCTAAGGCCGCCTGTTCGGCTGGTTCTTCTTGGGGGCGAGGTTTCATCTGGATGATCCTACGGGATCTCGTTGGCGGAGGAGGCAACGCAAACGTCTCCTTCTGCGCAGCAGATGAGCGCCTTCTTGACTTGACCGTCTCGCTTGGCTGTACCGGATAGGTAGTCTTGGTAGATGGCGATACGGGTGATGTCTTAGATGCGGCAGGCGCTTGGGGCTTGGCATTTGATCCAATAGCCGACGGAGGCAGTTCAAAGGACATTTGCAAAGTAGATAGTTGGTGCGAATGATCCTGGCCTTTGATCTCAGTAGAGGAGGCCGGAGTTGGCGGCATCTTCAGACGTGTCATATTGAATAATGATCTGTTAGGTCACTTCACCCTTGGTCACACGACAAGGAGAATGGATGTAATGCTGTCGCAAGCACAGTTTCCCGAAGGCCAGTCGAATCAGAGACTCGGTAACCACAACTCAAGAATATCTCAACGTCCAAATTTAAATAAAGTCCAAGTTTGAAGCGGGAAATCATGAATCGCCACAATTACTTCGGTATCGAATAACCGTTACACAAGCGAAAAGTGACGAGGGATAATTATGAGAATTGTTGCGAGGATGAGACGCTGTCGTTCATAGATCCATGGTTTAGAAGTTGAAGAGGACGGAAAAAGCGAAGAGCCTTAGGCGTAAAAAATCATTGACTTTGATAATGAAAGATGATCCCGGGAGGGGTCAGAGTCGAGAAGAGATGTATGTCCGACATATTGAAAAGTTTCAACGTCAACGAAGCATTGAGAGGTGTCGAGTCGAGGCACGCGATCAATTCGAGCTCTGACATTGGCTGAAGTCAAGGGGCGACCAATCAGCGACGAGAATTCGACAACGTGCTATGGTGGATTGGCTTGCGCCGACTGTCCCAAGACTTATCTCGACCCCCATCCTGGTCCATCCTAGAACATCCCATGTGCAACATCTGAGTCTCGGCTCCTACAATGCTTCGCAACCTTCCTGATCCTAGCCGCGTCTTGGGTTTGAAGTGCATTTAGACGCTTTTAAACGGGCCCCATAGCGCTATTAGTAATTTGTTTGGGCGGGTAGTTCGAGGTAGTCTGAGGAGGCAAAGAGGTCTTCTCCCTACGTTCGACGAACCCATTGGTGGGATTTATTCTAACTTGATCCGAGAAACATCACCTACGCACTAGGTATGTGCCGTCCATCATGGACCATCATGGAGACCCTTGCGGCGATGCGAACCTGAGCACGTGAAGGGTGACCTCGCCGAGACGCAAGCTTTCCACGGCGCTACGGACCTGCAGGCCTAGAAACCGCCTGGGTCAACTGGTACAGATCCATGGATACGAAATGCCTGGATTCACACTTACTCCGCATCCACATCGTTTAAGGGCCTGTTTCCCCAAACCGCTGGTAGCTTGAGAACGTGATCCAATGCAAAAAGTTGCTAAGGAAGAAAAGATGGAGAGGGGGATCGATACCTACTAATATATGGGCTCGTGTATTATGTAATACACATTAGCAATTGCATAAAATGACGACAATTATTCGTCAACTTCAATGAATTCATCTTGCAGCATACATGCAGTCTCACGATGTCTATTACTATAGCATTGATATCATCATAATAATTCTTATCCATCTTCTCACATACTAATTAGGTAGAACGCTTAAAAACTCTTCACATTTGTCGTCAAATTGACTTGAGTTGTGGTATCAGACAAGATTTAATGAATTCGCATCCAAACGCAATTATCTCGGATGCAAACATTATACGTGAGGAAAAAAAAAAACAGAAAAAGATAATCAGCTGCGGTGAATGTGGATCGAACACATGACCTTCAGATTTGAGAAACAGAAGTTGACTTCAGTCTGACGCTCTCCCAGCTGAGCTATCCCCGCTGATTGATGAAATTTCGTTTGCTTAGCAAACTCTATATTGTGCCGTGTGGCAAGGTATCACGTGAAGTCTGCTGTAGCTTGATTTAACCGAGTAGTGCCCGATGCTTTGATGGATTATTCATCACCATGTGCATCAACCCAGTTGCGGCTCTGTCTTCGCCAAGAAGAATTGATCTTGGTACCGGACTATCAGATTGCTACTTTATGACGATAATTGATTCTTTTGCTATCCAGTGTTGGTTTAAAATGTACTATCTAACTTCAGTCCATAGTTGCATCCATCAATCTCATTTTACATTAACTACAAAACATGCAAGCCGATTGATTACCAACATGCAAATTGTCGGGGAAGCACGAGACCAAATATCCTTCAATAGAGTATCAGCGTTGCAATTGTCTCAACTTCAAAATGTGACGATGAAGCGGGTTTACGTTACACAAATCCGAAGCCCCGAGGGCTGTGGACCAACGTCGATCGTCCCTTCAAGGGTCCCCGCTAATGCCTGCTGATGAGAGTCGTCCCTTACCTGGAAACATTTATTAATATTATGACCAACATCGTTAGTCCAAGTACGGCCCAATTTTGCCGGAGGAATATACGTAGTACTAATACCTAATCGAAATGCCTTCTTTCAACTACGGCTAATACCGCATTACCCACCTATACGATAGTGGCATGCCTAATGCTTACATACGCACATACGGCAGCCATTAGACTCCTGCAGGGGACGGATTCTAATGCACATCAAGTCTAGCTGAAAGCTGTCCCAGCCCTGCTCCGCCTTTTCGCTCTCGGTTGCTATTTCTCCTTACCAATCGACTTCCCCGAGCTGAAAGACGTGGCACAACCTCCGTTCCGCATCCGGTTAGGGACCGAGCACGGAAATCCCACGATAAGAGCTGCAGGGGTCGATTACGCACTGTCGACTTCTAGAAACCTGCTTGTCCTGAATAAATACCCTCTGCTGGGACCTTCACCGTCGCCAGGAATGCCAAGACGAAGTCTTCGAAGGAGGGATCCCTTTGTTTAAGCTTCAACGCCGTTCCAAGACCTGACTTTGGTGGTTGACGAGAGATCATGCGCCCACCTTCCTTTTTCGGCACGTTGGGGCTTTGCGGCAGCGTAGTCGCGACCACGAGCAGTCCGTCAGTTGTTGACACGAAGCACAATGTCACGTACAATGGTCTGAATCGCAACGGCGTCGAGGCCTTCCTAAGCATCCCTTATGGCCAAGATACGAGCGGCGCGAATCGGTTTAAACCGCCTCAGGCTTTCGTCCCCAAGCGAGGGAGCACCATAAACGCACAAGCCTATGGCCCGGCTTGCCCACAACCACTAGGAGAAGGCTTCCCTCCTCTCACTTTGACTAATGTCACCGCGATCTCGGAAGATTGCCTTCACCTGAATGTTATAAGACCCCTTAACGTAACCTCAAAAAGTCGATTGCCCGTCTTAGTCTATATCTACGGCGGCAGCTTCTGGACCGGCCAGAACAGCGAGCTTGCGACTCAACCAGATGGCATGGTTCTTGAGTCCGTCGAAAATGGGCTACCGATCATCCATGTGGCTATGAATTATCGTCTCGGGGGTAAGTGATATTGAAGTATCTCAAGCCTCGTGCGCCAAGGCCATCATTAACACGCATGCCGCATATAGTTTGGGGATTCGCAAAGTCCGATGCCTTGAAATCCGAAGGGTCGGAGAACGCCGCTCTAAGAGATCAGCGCCTTGCCATTGAGTGGGTTCGCGACAACATCGCGAGCTTCGGCGGCGACCCGTCTAAAATCACCATCTCCGGGCAATCGTCCGGTGGTAAGCAACCCCGAAACCCAACCCCCACCGCGTCCGATCTCTAACCAGAAAAACCAGGCCTCGCCGTCGGCATGCAGATAATGGCCTATGGCGGTAGCAAGCCCGCGCCCTTCCAGCGCGGGATCTGCGAGAGCCAAGCCCTCGAGCCCGGGATCACGGGGAATTACACGCTCAACGCCATGCAAGCCGTCGCCAACTACGTAGGCTGCAACAGCACCTCGCTCCACTCCGCCGCAACCGTCGCGTGCCTGCGCAACCTGTCCATGGAGACGCTTGAGGCCGCCGAGGAAGCCACGTACTCGGACGCCATCTCATACAACATCGGAGATATCTGGCTGCCGAGCGTGGACGGCGACTTCCTACCTCTCGCGCCGTCGCAGCTGATCGCGCAGCACAAGTTCGCCGCCGTCGACGTCATGATGGGGTGGTGCCAGGACGACGTCGCGCTCTTCACCGACACCACGATCGCGAGCGCCGCCGAGACCCGCGCCTTCCTGTCGTCGTACCTACCAGGTCTATCGAACGCCAGCCTCGACGGCCTGCTCGCGCTGTACCCGTCTTCCGAGTTCGCGAACAACACGGACAACACGTTAAGCGCCGAGTTCTTCCGCACCGCCCGCGTCTTCCGCGACGTCCTCATGACCTGCGAGCCCGTGCACTACGGCGCCGCGCTCGCGGCCGCGGGAAATGATGTTTATTTATACGAGTGGAACCAAACCATCCTCGACCCCATCCTCGCGTACCTATACGATGCGCCGCCCCTGGGCGTCGTCCACACCTCCGAGTTCGCGTACGTCTTCGGCAACATCAGCCACTGGGACACGCAGGGCTACCCGTACGCGCCGACCCCCTCGGACTACGCGCTCGTGAAGCGCGGCTCGCGGACCTGGTCCACGTTCGCGAGCCTCGGCGTCCCCGGGCTCAAGGGCAAGGATACGTTCCAAGGGTTCGGGACGAGTTTCCCGAAGGGCGGCGCGAGCGCGAAGAACGGGTCGTTTTCCGTGTTTGTGGCGGGTGGGCCTGAGGAAGGGTTCTCGGCTGTGGATGGTCCTGGCGCGAAGGCCGTGGTTGCGGAGCAGAAGCTGAGGGAGCGGTGCGCGTATATTAACTCGGCGGAGTTTATTGCGCAGGTTAGGTATTGAGTGGGGGTTTGGTAGGTTGGTTGGGTGCCTTTTCTTCTTGGATATAGTTTATTAGAGATTTATGATATGCCCGAGTATATATATAAAAACGTTATGAAGGATGTTCTCATTGACAAATTTAAATCCGAGGTACCGTCGTGAAATGGTAGCGAATACGGTGAAGTTAGACGAAATCTCAAGATTAGGTATGTTTGTTTATCTGCACTTCTAGTTCTGCTAGTAAAAATCTCGATAGTTTAATATACAGAAAGGGATGTGAAAAAGAAAAGATATAAAAAAAGTTGCATTGAATGTGAATCGAACCTACGCGGGGAGACAAAAAGTTGGGCGTAGTGTAAGATATGCCTCGCTGCAGAGCACCAACCAATTATTCCGGCGGACTAGCTCAATGAGCCAATTCTTCGCCTCGGGAAGGGAATCTAGACAGCCTCTCCTAGTGCGCCATTGCTAGTTGCTGGAGGACAGACTTTTAAAAATACCTATAAACCCTTTGCAGGTTGTCAGATAGGCCTCATGGTGGTCAAAGCAACCGTGACTCATGATCATGTCGGAAAGCTTAGACACAACTGTTCTTCCGGTTACTTGTGTAATAAATGAACACTACAGCCCCTTATAGTTCTCACCTGTATCAAGAAATCCCCAACCGTAGTACGTGTCCAAAAACATCAGTTGTCTTCTTCCAGGTTGTCTCATGCCCGTGAAGTAAGCCGGACAGGGCACTAGTTGATGAGATCGTCGAACAGATCGGATTCGTATTATTATTCCAAGAGATCCTTCGACCCCTAAACCATGATTAGGTCCAAATTCATCAAAGGTGATAGATAATCAAGTTCTCACAGACCAAAAGCACCATGCTAATGTTAGCTACGACTATGGATCCCTTAATAATAACTCTTATTCCTTATCCCAAGGTTCAAAGTTCAACATTAGCAAATAAAGTCTCATCATTTATTAGGTGTATCATCATGCCAATGCTGCTTGCAATGCTGCTTGCTATGCCCCGTTCCAAAATGCTATGATTACAAAAAGTACAATGCCTCAACGCCTCGTATGCTTTCATATCGCTTCATGACTCGTCATCATGTGTGCCCAGTAGCAACTCTTAGAATCTATCCTTACATAGATTCTTCCAATGCTCGTTACAGAACTTAGCCAAGCTCGTCTAAGTCATCGTCCCAGCCAAGCCTTTCGTAAATCGAAAGCTTCCGAGCAGGCTCGGCGGTGGTATTACTAACACTACTGCTGCCATTAGCAGCAGTCGATTCGAGGATCCTCCGCTTGGTCGGTGTTCCAGCCACGATCCCATCCGACGGAATAGGGACAGCACGAGGCTTAACAGGTGTCTCGACAAGCTCATCGAATCCGATCCCGCTATCGTGGAATGATAAAGACGACGACTTTCGAGACATGATAGGCGATGACGCAAGTATATCTTCGTCATCATGTTTGGGGACGGACAAGAAACTCTGCTTAAGGCTTGATTGCTTGACCGGGGTCGCTTTGATTTGTGGAAATGGCTCAGAACGGGTAATGCTCGGCGAACTCTCTAGAGTGAACGCCGACTCGTGGGTGCGTTTTTTGGCCCCTGAGGATGGAACTAAGGAGAATGGAGTACTGCTTGGTTCGTGGGCCCCCAAGCCTCGAGGAGTTTGTCGGTGACCCGCACTCGTGCCAAACACATCTTTATACCGTTTCCCCACAGGCGTAGCTTTGACTATACTGTCCTGGGGACGTGTGTGCTGCGTCGGCTTGCGTGCTTCTTTAGATTAATTAGCATGAATATGGAATAGGGATCAGATAACGTTATTTTTAACTTACTCTTCAGCTGAGAAAGACTAGTATTGGCTCGTCTTTCTGCTGCCTCCGCCATATCCTTGCCCACGACATCTCTGTTAGGCCGTCTGAGGGCGGATATAGCATCTTGAAGCTCTGCTTGGACTAGGGCCTCTTTCTTCGCCTTCTCCTCGCCAGTTTTTCGTTTGGGAGGTGCTGCTGTCAGCGGGCGCGGAGCCTTTTCTCTTAACGGCGCCGAATCAGCTCTGGGGATGCTCTTTAGAGACAGCGGCTCGCTCGCCTCCCGCTTTAACATGGGAGTCGTAGTAGAACGCATCAAAGCGATTACTCCGCTCGGGCCGCGCGACATACTTCGCCGGTGCTTCTCAGATTCCCTAGAGAGGACCTTTTCAAGCGATCCAGAAGACTTTGACTTGGATACCCCTGGACGCTTTGCTGCCGAGCCAGGCTTTGGCTTCGGTTTCGGCACAGGCTCCGGCTTCTTCACCTTAGGTTTGGGCGGCGGCGGCATCATAAGCGGCCCACCCAACTTACGGCTAATGCTGTCGGACTGTTCTGGCAACCTTGCAGAGAAGCTTTGAAAATGTTAGCGCATAGGCCCTTAGCGTAGTTTTACGGTGTTCTTACAATGGGACGATAATATCGACACAGAAATCCTTCAAAGGGTCTAGCGCTTTCTGAGTGTTTTGTTCCTGACTCTCCTGGCCAGCGAGGAACTTAACCCCGTCCAGCGAAGTGGACTGCCAGATACATAGTCGATCCGCATGAAGATCGACAAGTAGTGGTAGATTATTACGGCCTTTGCCTTTCTTAGGAGGGGTTTCCTTAGGCGGCTCCGCTGTCGGCTCAAGGCCAGGCAGGCCTGGGAGCTGAGAATCTCCTTCATTCCGAGATGCCACTACTGGTTCTAATGCAAGGATCTCGAGGATGATGATCATCTGTAATTGGGTCTCCCTGGACCGTAGCCAGGCTATTTGAAGCTTGGTTTCGTGAGACTCGGTATCAGTCGTTGTCATATCCTCATCGCGTTTCGACTGTGGTTTACGAGCATCCCACCATTTCCTGATACGATCGTCTTCCATCGGATACAGGCCGTCTTTACCAAGCTTCATTTTCTTGACTTTTCGCTTCTTGGTCTTGGCGTTCGCCTGTTCAGCGTCGGAATCTTCAAACATGGGCTTCATCTTGGCGATTATCCCCGGAATTGTCTCCCGGTACTTCTTGTCGATCTGCGCTGTCGTCATAACAAGGCTCCTCAAAAATCCTATCAGGTCGCTCATCTCAAGGTTCGAATCACAGTCGAGATGAAAGGCGGCACGTGCTCGAGATAGAGGTCCTTTCGCAAAATATCCAAGGGAACCCTGTCAATGTCAGACAACCAAAAAGATAAAATATGCCTTTGAAACCTACCATTGAGTGATAGAGGGACTCAAAATACTGGTTCCTGATATTTTCAAATATGACTCCTGCAGTGGGCGCATTCAACAAATCGTCTACCTCGGGTGCCTTCGCCGCTTGACTTTCCCTTTGAGCCTCAAGTACGCCAGTGGGTAGTTCATCCCTAAGAATACGCGCACTTTCAACTTGAGATTCGGTACCGGGTTGTCCAGGTGTGGGCGGTCCCACGGGTAGAAGCTGGGATGTACTTGACGCCGAACGAGGCCTTACGGGCTTCTTTACGATTGACTCTAAAGCTTCGATCGCAAGTCTCCTCTTCTTTGTCTCATGGTGCAATTGAGGGGTAGTCAATGGGGGTACAGGAGGAGGGCGAGAATCTTTCGAAGTAGTGGTCTCCTTTTTAACTAGTTGGGGCAAAGACACTGTAGCAACCTTCTCGAGGTCCTGGAGGTCCACCCAAGAGCCAATGTGGCAGAGAGTATATAAGCCACCCTTCTGTCGCTCCAGCGCATAGATAGACTTATCGGACTCTAGTCGAGCGATGAGAACAACAGGGCGAGATCCGAAACGGCCTTCGAGATCGAGAATTTTGATACTCGACTCAAAGAAGCGGGAGTATTCGAAACTTCCATTTGGCACAGATAGGTCAAGGTACGATAGCTGGAGGTATTCTCGAGGAAGAAGCATCAAAGGTTGAAGACTGCGTGGTTGGACAGATAGCTTTGGGGGATGTGGCTAGGACTGGTTTAGTAAAGGGCGGGCGAAGAGAAATATCAAGACTTAGCTTACCTTGACAACAATTGAAGGTTTCAGTAAATCTTCTAAGGTCTCAACAGCGCTGTTGGACTTCTGACTAGAGCTGGCATTGGAATTGTCATGACTGGGCTTCAGAGGCTCTTTGCATACAGGCATTGGGAGGGTCGCGCCGGATGACCGACGCGACGCGACCGGCGCAGCTCTAGAAGGCATTGAGGAACCCCTAAGTGGGATTCCATCTATCAGTAAGCGTAAAAGAAGATAAAAGAAATGAAAATAATAGTGATTCTATCATGAGTTAGTCTATAGGTCAGTACTAGTGTAGTACGGAAGACAGCAGATCTCGAAATCTTTAATTGATATATCGAAAAGAGTACTGAGTACTTACAAGTTTACAGATTAATTGCTGGTAGGTAAATCTTAAATTGGCATGGTCCCACAAAACGCTAAATTCAAGGTTAGGACAAGTTCCAGCACGCGTCTTTGCGCGATGAGGGGTACACCGGTACGGTAGTACGCTAAAAAAAATAGCGTCCCCTCTGGAGCCACACAGCCACACAGAAATTGGAGTAATTGCTTGTGGCGAGTGTTCTGATCGGTGATCTTGTGGCTTTGAATTGCTTGAATTGCAAGGTGTTTGCCGCATACGGAATAAGCGACGTGTACATAGTAACATAACATTCTTTTGCAAGCCTTGGCTTTCCCAATTTTTTAACAGATTACTACTATGATGTGATTCAACTGACATGAATCTTTCATTATTCAATACTAAGTATGTACCTAATCAATTTTACGCCTCCAACGCTACTATCTCTTACATCGTGAAGTGCTTAGGTGTTCAAGATGCGGAGAACTTATTCCGTAATATCAACAATCGAGATTTCCAATTGTGGCGCTGTGCTCGCACGTTTTGAAACAGCTACACAAAGGAAACTTAGAGCAGCTGGAGATTGCAAAGGTTTGACTTTTGCCCTGTCACAGGCAGTCACAGGCAGCAGCGGCGGCGGAGCTCTAGCTCCAACTTACCTAGCACTTCCCAAGCCTAGGAAGGTTTAGTTACCCAATGATTTTCCCACCTTCTCCTACCAACTCACGACCAATCATTAGAAATTTTCCGTGCTACAATTTGTTTAGCTTCAACTTTAGAAAAGGCACTTATGCAAGCTTCTGAATCGGCAGAGTTATTATAAGTGATTGTCAACCTTTATCTTGATTTTTGACCACCTACACACCTACCCAGCTACCTTGCCTCGCCTTACCTTGCCTTGCTTTACTTGAGAGGTCATCGTCGCCATCCGAACATCTCGATCAATCTCAATCATTATCCTTTTTAAGACGAGCTTAGCCTCTCGATCTGACGATCCTGGCACAATTAAGGTGTTTAATTACTATTAAATAAATTCACATGTATGAAGGAGGCTCTTCATCGCCTTATCGCATTGATCAATTCAGTCGAATCATATGAAAGTGCCCGACTGAGTGGAAGTGGAAACCTGCGTGGAAACCTGCAGAGCCCGAGTCAATAACTTTTGTCCATTTCCGTCCACTTTCGTCCACTTTGAAAGTTCAAGGGTATTTTCCTCATGGATTACCCCGGCCCGGTCCATCGTGAATAGCTAACTTCGCTTGGCGACCTTGTTTTGACTGCGACCCAACGAGCAACCGATGCCCATCGTCGCGCATTAATACCATTGACACCTATTCGTCTACCTACTTGCCTACCCGGGTAGATACCTACCGTAGGTCTAGGTTAATTCGGATTGTCAATCTCCCCGGATGACAAACTGACCAATTTGAGAACCTCTGGATCCGGTTCCAGCGAGTTGCATCCGTTAATTGCCGACATGTCCGCCGAAACATCACCACGCGCCGTTCGATTCTCCCCCAGCGAGGTTGAGCTGGTTCAAGATAAGGCCAAAAATCCGCGACCCATTGCTATCACCACCGATTCCGACGGCTCGGGATCCTCCGAAGATTATGGTGCCGACCCCCACGAGCTCGAGCGCCAGGACGAATTAGGTTCTCTTCCTCCATATGGGGATGGCAGTCTCTCTAGCTCCATGGCATCGCTAGCTCCGAACTCGGTCGCTAATAATGCCGTGAGGCAACGAGGGTCTACCGGCGAAGCTAACGCCAATAACGTCGCGAATGGTGTCGGGGGCCGCCCACAACAAAGACCACATGTTACGAGGACCCCTTCCAGCACATATGCTCCGCAGAGGGGCCCTCCACCGCAACCTCCGTCATTCATCAGTACCTCGACTCGGTCCGGATCTCGTAGGCGAGATCCTACCGACAAATTTCGCGACCAGGAACCTGCCTACCTGCGCATGATGCGTCAAGATCGACCTCCCAATGGATACTTTGACCCTTACACTCCCAGCGTAGACTACTCTGACGAAGAGTCCGAGGGCGAGACCCCTTCTTCTGAAGGTGTTTTCGACGATCGATTCCCTAATGACGAGACTATAATGTTCCAAAATCTAATCGACGATACACAACCCACCGAAGATGACATTAAAGACCCGGTCAACCGCGAGCGGCTAGAGTGGCATGGCATGTTGGCAGCAGTCTTGACCGGTGACGTTGTCAAACAAGAGAAGAAGCGACTTATCGGGACGTCGGAATCACAAGGCGGAAAATCTACATATAAGAGCGAGTTATGGCTTGGAATCAGGTCAAAAATGACCGGCCGGTCTCTCGCCGTCCAGCGGAAGGTAGTCGAGGAGGCACGAGGAAATCTTGACCGCACTATTGACGAGATCACGCGGTTCGAAGTACAGGGCGAGACCGCAGCCGGTAAACCCGCCATTGAGCAGGTTCGGGATATCGTTAAGAAGGTTGAGAAATGCGAGAGTCTGTACCCCTCTTGGCAAATGTTGGGAGCAGCACATCCACAGGTCACATCCCAGACATTCCAAGAAGCCTGCGATGCCGTCATGTCCTGGTATAACACTAACGAGATGATCAACACTGAGCTATCGATTCTGAAGAAATGGGTTGGCAATGATGATCTAGATTTCCAGAGGACGAAACAGAGGTCGCCAAGCACCAATGGTTTAAGCGACGAAACCTCGTTTCTGGATCGCCTTCTAAAGGAGGATAGCTTAAGATCGCTGCACGAAGATGCTGACGAAGCTGCAACGATAGAACACGCGCTGAAGACCAAATCACTCATCCGAAGGAGCATGTTAACACCAATCTCGACAACGATTGCTAAAGCGAAGGAAACTCTTATTATGAACTCGGCAGCTTTCCATAAGCGACATCTCCCCCCGTATATCGAAGAACTACTTACCCTTATCAGCTTTCCATCACGATTAATCGAAGAAATCATCAAAGTCAGAGTGGCATACGCGAGAAAAATGAAAGAGACTACCCAGCAAACTCCTATCCTTCAGGACCAGATGATCTCGCAATTCGAGATCTTATTGAAACTTGCGATTAAAATCAAGCAGGAGAATCTTATGGTTTCTCAGCCTCAACCCGGATGGCACTTACCACCCTGTATCGATGAATCGTTTGACCAGGTCGTACTCGACGCCCTAAAATATTATTTCAAGATGTTGAATTGGAAACTTAGCAGGAACAAAAACACTTTCAAAGAGGCCGAGGTCCTGTTTCAGGAATGGGATTTCGCCAATGAGATTGGTCGACATCTTGTTGGGGGCGACGTCGAAGTCGCCGAACAATTCAGCAACCTCACTTATAAAGCTCTGAACCGTCTTAGCCAGACGTTCGAGCGTGAGTTGCAGAGGAAGCCTAAGGAGAGCGCGGATGATATGAGTAAGAGATACATGCAAATGCTAGATTCGGTAAGAGTTAGGCAAAGGATGCTCCAACGCTTCTCGAGGATGTTGAGCGAGCACTATGAGAACGCATCAGATATAAGTATCGCTCTCGGTGCCGAGGGACTCAGGATGTTGTACGAACGACTCTCGGTAACTGGTCACTTTCTGGTCGACGAAGTTGACGGCATCCAAATTATCGCGTCGCCAGCCCTTTGTGGTCGTGACGAGGAGGTCCAATCGATACTACGGAATTGCTTCCACGAACAGATCTCCGAAGACCCTACGGACCCATACATACTAATACTTCGTCCGGAAGCTCCACTACACTGGTTTGGAAATCGACGAACTCAATCCCTAAACATCGAGTCAACGGATCTCAAGCTAGGCCAGATGCGCCTTATCGCGGACGGATCTCAAAGCCGATTAGCAAATGCAAGGAAGCTCTTCTTAGAAACGATTGATATGCACCTCGACCTTATCGTAGAAGCGCGCTCGAATCTTCACAAGGTCAACACCAGACTGTTCGAAATTCGAAAGGTTGGCTTCAAGCTGTCTAACACATTTATGGACAGTGTTGAGATCATTCGAAAGCAAACTAAAGGGTTGGATTGTCAAGACCTTATCCAAACGTGCTTCGTCTTTGCGACGGAATTCGGACAACGATCACTTTTATATATGGACAGCAACCGACGGCAAATGAATAATATGAAGCTCACTAAGCTCAGTTTGGATTGGGTCAGCTTCATTTGCGATGATTGTAAGGTTACCGATCGCAAATCTTTCCGCTGGGCTGTGCCGGCTTTGGAATTTGCGATGAGCATGACGAGAGGTCGACACATTCTAGGGCTCGGCGACGACGAGTATTCAAAATTACGAGCTAAAGTATCAGGGTGTATGTCGCTCCTCATCTCACACTTCGATATTCTCGGTGCCAAGTCAAATCAGGCAGCGCAATTGGAACGGGAGCGGATCGAGGCTCTCGTTGGACAGTTCAAGAGGTTTGATAAGAACAGAATGCTCAACGACGACGAAGCTACCAAGTATATACAAGAACAACGACTACTTCGACTCTCCGATATCGACGAGGTACAGAGGCGCACCGTTGAAGAGAGGCAGGGACTTGGACGAGTGTTGGAGGTTTCTAATGAAGTTGATCGATCACTAGCATACTTGTCATCGTCCGCCACGAACGTAACCATGAGATGGCAGCAAGGGCATTTCGTCGGCGGTGGAACATTTGGCAATGTCTATGCTGCGATGAATTTAGACACCGGTCATCTCATGGCAGTAAAGGAGATTAGATTGCAGGACCCCAAGTTGATACCTCAGATCGCCACGCAAATCAAGGATGAGATGGGTGTTCTAGAAGTTCTCGATCATCCCAACGTCGTTTCTTATTACGGTATAGAGGTCCACCGTGATAGAGTCTACATTTTTATGGAGTTCTGCTCAGGTGGTTCGTTGGCTGGCTTGTTGGAACACGGTCGGATCGAGGACGAGCAGGTTGTCATGGTATACGCGTTGCAACTTCTTGAGGGCCTTGCTTACCTACATGAAAGTGGCATCGCCCATCGCGACATCAAGCCTGAGAGTAAGTTATACACCTTTATTCTTCGATTGATATTTTTCACTAACCTTTACGCAGACATCCTCCTCGATCATAACGGCGTCATCAAATATGTCGATTTCGGTGCCGCCAAGGTCATCGCCCGCCAGGGACGCACTTTAGTTCACGGCCTCGCAGCCACAAAGCCCAACAAATCAATGACCGGCACTCCTATGTATATGTCTCCCGAGGTCATCAAAGGCGAGAATCCAGGTCGTGCTGGAGCCGTAGATGTATGGTCTCTGGGATGCGTGATTCTCGAGATGGTTACTGGTCGTCGACCTTGGTCCAATCTCGATAACGAATGGGCAATTATGTACAATATTGCTCAAGGCAATCCTCCACAACTTCCTAACACGGATCAGTTGAGTGTGACGGGGATCGACTTCTTGAGCAGATGCTTCGTCAGAGACCCCAAGAAGAGAGCTAGCGCTGTGGAGCTCCTCCAACACGAGTGGATCATGTGCATTCGAAACCAAGTCGTTGAACCGCCTACTCCTAGTGATACGAGCAGTAATTCGGCGGGCACGCCACATCCTTTTTCGGCGGGAAGTAAGGGAAGTATGGACGGCTTTTATTAGGAATACTGGCCTCCTGAAGATTTGCCTTCTGTTCTGGTAACTGAAACGAACGAGGATGTGGACGCGATGTTTAGCGAGCCCCCATCACCACCGCGTTTCGAGGATGTCATAGCCGACTCACCGTCAGATATGCATCGCTCATCCGTCGCGAGTTACAGGTCGACTCCTCCAGCTAATATGCAGGCCGCCCATGAGTCTGCGAGGAGAGCACAAGTCAGAGAGTCTGTTACGAGGGCACGGGCAGAGTCTGAGTCGGCCGTATATTCCTCTACGCACTATGATGGTTTCCTAGCAGAATTCGGACCCAGTTCTTCCAACAGCGGACCTTAATACCTTACCATAAACAAAACACGATAGCTTGGGACGTGAAGAAGATGAGCGGAAAAAAAAGAAACATATTACTTAGCGCTGGGGGGTATATACGACTACGACAGCGAGATTACCCATTCATTTTTTTTTGAGGGTTCTTCACTGCACGGCTTAAGATTCGTACATCCGGCTGCATGAGCGATGGAGTCGAGTGGTTTTTTATCGACTCTTTTCTTAGCTTTTCTCCCTACTTCTGCATATCTTGGGGCGTTTGTTGCTGCACATATCAGGGGTTCGAGATGTCTGGAAAGGGGGGAGGTGTCTGGTTGCTCAGTCGCTCGTCAAGCTTGAAAAATTGTTGCCGTACTGCTGCCGTCTGTACCTAACCCTGCCTCGCAGATTATACCGTACGCATGTCTCGGGCTTTCTTGATACTCGAAGGAGACTGATGTGGACTTGGACTGGGCTGTATGTTAGTTAGGTCGGGATATATCGGTTGGCGGCGGTGGAGTTGTAAGCTACGTACACTATTAATACCCTTGTATGATTGTACGGTCCCGGCGTGCGAAATAATTGTTATTACGAAAGTGTTTGTAAGGTGACCCGTAGGAGGCTAGCTAAATATGCGTGTCTAGGTGTATATGCACATACCTGGCTGCTATTATACATTGTCTCGGTAGTTATTTGTAAGCATAAACTTGCCTCCTTAATCTTAAGCCGTACTGGGTATACTATTAGGCTACCTGGTTAGCATGGAGAGGTAATCATCGATGGGTACCACAACTGTCACCGCAACCACAACTACAACACTGGCTATCATTTTGTATGCAGGTCAAGTCCAAGGCAGCCAAATTCAAATTCATGCATTGCAGAGCGGAGTCCGGAGTAAATACACCAAATAGTTCGCGAGCCCGCGAGTTTGGGGATACACAGGACAGGGAAGACGAACGCCATAAGCGCGTGGCAGAGCCACTTCATAACCGTCAATTCACAGACAATTTTGTGGATTGAGAAACAATCATTAGTCTGACTATAGATAAAAGTTTACAACGTTTACTTTGAAGCTCTAGGTGGACCCAGACGAGAAGGACGGGAACTAACGGGAATATGTGTAGTCTGGGAACCAATAGGTAAACAGATCAGGCCAGGTTGGATCTTCTAACCAGGCCAAGGACGCCTTCTATATCCACAATATCTGTCATTACAAGAGCTACAGTTGCAGTGTTTTGACCGTAATGCCTACCTGGCCACACCATTAAGCATTACAAGGAACGCTTCTGGCAAATCAGAGATAAGTACCTACCTACCTGGATAGGTTGATCTTCAAAGACTTCTTCATACTTTGAACCTTAGGGCACCTGGAGTTTTAAAAGGGAGAAAATCAAGTAGATGACCGGGTGCAAACAACGTTTGTCAACATCCAGGGATTAAAAAACAAGATACACTTAAGCACATAGAAGCTCAGTCCAAAGCACTGCTGGTACAAACGATACAAGGGAAAATAGATATAAAAACATGTACCGTTCACAACTTGTATTCTAGGTCTAGTCCACCAAGTCCTATTTTACCTCCTAATCCTAGGCTAAGGACAACTACCAGTTAAAAAGGAAAACGATCGAAAGGGCTACATGCACCTCTAAAAAACTTCGAATAGAACTTGAATGTATCAAAGGATTACACGTATATAGATTAGCATAGGTCAAGATGCTAGGGTAATTAGGTACCAACATACACAGGGCTATGAACAATAGCTTTTGATTATGGAATAACCGTTTGTAATACCCCTATTTTGCCGCTGCTAACTTTACCATCTATTGCTTATTCTCACCAATCTCTCCTTCGTTAACTATATAATCTTCATCGTGTTACTTGTAATTTATGTAGGTTCAAACCCTGAAGACTAGGATGCCATGCGTTGCTTTACAGAGAATTCTTCGCAGATAACGACAAAGAAATGCCACACGGAAGACGAGGAAGAAAACCCACAAAGCCACAACACTTACCATTGATCCTCTTTGCCGCCGCCATCGACCTCAGTTACTTCTGGTGGAGTTGACCTTGGACGGCTGAGTGGGCGTTACAACCCTATGAACTAAACAAGTTGGGATACCTCTGATGTTCATTGTAGGGGGATTGCCGGAGAGACGGCCCCCGTTCACGAGTCCTAACAATACTCTGGCTCAGGCAACATGCAAAGACAGCACCCCACTCTTACTGCCGCCGCTATCGGGTTCCCGTTCAACAGATTCTTTCGGCCGTACTAGCACCGGGGCCCTCGCTTCGCGCGCGAGCTAACCTCTAGAGTTCCTGTAGTGTATGGCGCCCTCGTCACCAAGTGGTGACACGGAAATATCTAAAGAAACGCAATATGTAAGCAGCCCCCTGAGTAAGTTCAATCATAGAAAACGAATGGCTAGAGGTACAGCCGCCAATAAGACGGGATAATAGCTAGGCTTGGATAGGGTATAATAGTAATATCCCACCCCCCCTACCGCCACTATCGAGCTTTCATCTAATAAGCTTCAGCACCACATATCAAGCATCGTCGTACCATGGCCTCGAATATCATGGCTCCAAGATGTAGGTACACGGACCTGCCAGACCCGCATACAACTTCCCTTTCCCTTCGCCGTAGACGTAATTCCCGTTCGAACGCGAGTCACCCTTTCGACCGACGTCCTCACAGGCAAGCCGCTCCACGGACCACGACGCCGCAGTCGGTGGGTAGGGGTAGCGAATAGGAATCGGGAGGAGAGGTCATTAAAACCGGATTCTAAACCTTGCAAGCATGTGTGTAGTTAGATATGTATGGATCGATATGTAGGAGCCGGGTGGCTAGTGACTTAGTGCGTACGGGGTGGGTGATGAGGCGCTACCATGTACCGACGGGGCTCGAGGTCCGGGATGTGGCCGGTTTAGACGTGGCCCTGGCTTGGGCGAGGGTTTGGTTTGATTAGTCAACGAATCTGGTATGCTATCCATAAGTGTGTAGTGAATCTAATAGCGTATTGGATGGCCATAACTCGGTGTTGTATACTAGTACTAGTAGTAGGCATGGGATATGTAACTTGATACGCTATGACCAATGCCTTCCTTCATCCTTCCTGTGCGAGGGTACATACCTGTCACTGCTAGGTACCAAGGATGAGTCATGGTGAGGGTTGAGATGTGAGATTATCAAGGGGCAGGTTAATGGACAAGGGGATCGATATCGGCGCTTCGACGAAGTTGATTCTTATTTGATAATCTGCATTTGGTAATGCATATATGGATTCCTATACCTTAGATAGAACCAAGACCTAGAGGGCGTATACCTATCCAAAGAAAGATCTGTATGTAGAAGTGCTATAGCACATTATCCTCCATCACATAAACGGCAACTAGGTACCTATGCCAGAACAGCTGTGACCCAGCAACAAACCTCACATCTAATAATTACCGAGCCCGCATATCCCCAAATTAATACAGTAAACCAAGATTATGCTCAGATCCTCTTGGCGCGAGGAACTGGAGGGTAAGGTAATAGGAAGGTAGGTAGGTGTTGAGATACCTCTAAGGTAACAGTCACGTCACTGCAACGGTGATCATGGACGCGTGATAAGCTGCGAACTCTCTCTCAGCTCTCCCTCTCTGTGTACACAACCATAACAACATGGCAAGTTTTTTCTTTATTCGGTCCAATACGCACGGCCAGCATCGAAGCACACGTAAACAGAACTTTTAATGGGCGAGTGAGTTAGTCATTTTATCAAGCCATCACTTTTGTGATCCTGTGCCCCTCGGGCTACTGGGAATAGGGGCGTATGCATATCGCGATCTGTTATGATGAACGAGGTGTAATGTTTTTGCGACCCAAGCTCGCTCCATCCTAGCGAGCGGGCGGTCCTTTCTCAATTTCAGCAATAGTTTCTAGACTCATACCCGTTATGCGGTGACAAAGAATCAAGACTCGGGCCCTGGACCGCATAGTAAAGTGGATGGCGGGATCTCCAAGCCAAGCAAAAGCCAAATTAACCGCCTGAACCTGAAAAATGCCATCGGACCTCGCAACGTGACAAGAGATCCATTCGTCCGCCAAGACCGTCCGCCGTCGATGATCCAAGGGGAAGGTTGAGTAGGTAGAGTCGATTAGAGTCACAATCCACAACCAATATCACAGCACGCGCTCAACCCAACTCAATCGCTGTCCCCATCATCCAACGCATCATCCTGCTCCTCCCTCGGCTCCCGTTCCTCCAGACGATCCGGATCATCCTCTCCCCCTTCCTCTTCCTCATCTTCTTCCTCTTCCTCCTCTTCCTCAGCCTCATTCTCCTCGTCCTCATCATCTTCCTGCTCCGCCTCGGGCTCCGTCTCCGCGTCGTCGCTGTGCTCCTGGGTCTCCGCCGTCGCGTCGCCGTCGACGTCCATCGCCGAGTCGTCGCGGGGAGCGTTGGGCTTCTGCTTCTTGGAGGCGCGCGGGGCCCCGGCCCCCGCGTCCTGCGCGCTGGCGGCCGTGCTCGCGGTCGATACCATGGAGGCGTTCGGGTCCGCGGCCGCGGCCTTCTCGGCGCGCTTCGCCGCGGCGACTTTTCGGCGGTAGGTGCTGCGCTTCGTGGTCTGGACCTCGTTGAACTCTGCGATTTGGGGTAGGGTTAGTGATTTGTTGTTGAAGGTAAGGTAGGATATACCGTGCAGGGAGGGAGGGAGGGGTACGTACTCTTGAATTCGGCCTCGAGTCTCTCGCGCATGAACTCGAATTCTATGTCGTTGAGCGCCTCGAAGACGTCGGCGGGCATGATGGTCTTCTTGTTGGAGCTTAGAGTCTTCTCGTTTGCTCTGTGTTTCGCCAGTTAGCTACCATGCCCCACTATCGGAGGTAGACATGTAGATGCTTACGCGTTGGCGAGGTGGTTGATGAAGACGGTTGCGCTCTTGCACATTGCCAAGACGGCATTGGCTTGGATCTGTGTGTTGGGAGGCAGAACACCCTTCGCAAGGCGCGTTATTATCGACTTTGGAAGATTGAGGTCCTAATTGCACTTGTTAGTTGAAATCTACACGCCATTGCACGATCGCATTGCCTACCTCGATGGTGACAGCGTCTCGACTACCGTCTTTAGCATCCTTCTTCTCCTTGTCTTTCTCAGCAGAAGGCGCGCCTTCAGTAGAAGGTCGTTGAGAATCCATCTCTATAGACGGTGTGGGCTTAGATCGCGAAGGTACAGACGTATTGCCAGCTGGAGGTCGGAGAGCATTTGAAGATACGTCAGCGTCAGAACCGTCGTAGACGAATTGGGCCATTGATACGTTGCTCGAGCGAGTATTGTCGTTTTTTCGAGGTGGCATAGTGATGAAAGGTTATTGTATGTTAAGCTAAGACGTCACTAGTTCGAGTCACCGATTAGTGCGGTGAAGTTGGACAGTTAATCATTCAATTGGGTCGCAAAAAGTGAATCGTGGTTGATAATTCGACGATCTGATTGATTAAAGTCGATAAACGATAAAGTCGAAATTGGAGATAGAGTTGCTTAGCTTGTACTAGTGCCCCACGTTCGACGCGCCCGAGACGCGTAAAGAGCCTAGAATAAAGTTCGAGAGGTACCCCGTACCTCTTTCTCTGCTTTTTTTCTCTTCACATTGGATAGATTCAAAATCACCTCAATTGTTCAAATTTGTCAATTAAGTGCATATTGTCAAAGTTTTATCATATTATTGTTAATAATTCTTTTAAATGAGAAATATTGCCCCCCATACTCTTCTCTCAAAGTTGGACTATGTGGATGTCTAAGATCTTAACGTTCACAACACCAATAAATTGGGTATATCAATAAGCTCTCCAAGATATTTACTATACCTACTATATTGGTAGGTATCTAAAGGGCAAACTAGAGTCTTCCATATTTAGGTCTTCCAGGCTTGTAATTACCTCGATCGGTCTGAATGAGCATCGCAATATCTACACCAGATCAATGGATGGCTCAATCTCAGAGCTAATCGACTAGACACATAGTCAGATCTTCATATCGTTCAAGCAACGAAATGAATCCATCAGTCAGAGTTATCAAATATCTTACATAACAGCACTCTATCACCACCAACCAAGAAAACACCTCACCTACGACGAAACCACCGACCTGCGGAAACAAGGGCGGAATCTCTCGGCGTAACTCCCCACTTCCCAATCGAATCCGCCCCGAACAAGTCCCGGGGGGTGCGTGTTTGATCGACGACAGGGATCCCCGATTCCTCACCTCCGTTCGAGGACCACTCATCTAACCCTACCCGCGAACCCTACCTCCCCTCCCCTTCCCTACCTTCCCTCTCCCCTAATCATCTTCGATATCACACGGCGTGCATGAATAACGATTTCCAAGATTTCCCCCCATGGCAATAAACGTGGCAGAAAAAACCCCGTCTGACACAAACCTTCTAGACTCGAGAATGGCCCAGGTTAAACCTAGGCCCGAGGGGAGCCCTGCGAATCGTGATCCCGCTGAGATGAGATCCCTCCGGCATAATGAAGTGCGTTATGCTGCAAATCTCACGCTGTCAAAAAACCTGGAAAGCGTACCTTGGAAAATTTGCTCGCGCTGCCGGAAAACAACGCCCGGCTGATCCTATTCGCACACGCTTTGCCTTGCTACGTACGTTGTATGTACGTTGTATGTATGTTGTAAGTTGTATGCATGTAGGTACCTACTAAAGACGTAGGTTGTATGTACGCTGTATGTAGGTACGGATGTATGTACCATATATCGAAAGCCGAGAAAAAGGAGTTCGTTGAAGAAAACGTAAAATTAAGTGCCGGCGCCACCATCTGCACCGTCAGCATCACGGCATCGCATTAAGTAATAAGATAAAATAAGATAAACAAGAACATGGTTCGCGAAAGTGCCGAAATGAACGGTGGTTTTTACTTGTTTCAATTAAACGTCTTAATTGAACTTTCGCAGCAAGCCTCTAGCCAACCACAACAAGCTCGTAGCTCAAGCTACTACATTCCGAATCTAAATTCGCAGAATTTGGGGGAACTGGGATCCCGCTGACTGTATTCCTCCTCTTTCCCTTCACTTCCTTTGCCGTCCTCTGCCTGGCCTAGGGCTTCGGATCTTGGTCTCCGGGTAAGGAGGTCCGATCAATTTCTGCCCAGAGTATCTCCCATCACCTCGTCCTAACCCTCAAGACTTCGTACCGCGCGAACGTCGTGTCCTCGATGAATATGCCTATCACGTGCCCTATAACCAATGCAAGACCATGCTTCTTCTCAGTCACACAAACGCAACCCAAATTCAAGAATTCCCTCCTCGGGGGAAAGCCATGATAACCCTCCTCCCCTTCCCCCAATGGGGAAGGAAATTTCTCAAAGCACACAACATAAAAAAAATATCCGGGGTATATCCTCCGTGTCTCGCGTCTCTCGCGTTTCCAAAAACTCCAGTGTTCGGAAGAAAATATTAAAAAAAACAATGCAAAATTAAAGGGACGTAGAATTGTTGCTGTCGGTACTATACTAGAGATACCATGATGAACGTAAAGTCGTACGTAGGGGTGCTGTGATAGTAAAAAGAAAAAATGCCGTAAGAGTACGCCGAAAACGGTGCGGTCGTCGTCGGATGTGATAGGTGAAATGAGAGGTGGTCCTGCTGCTGACAGGCCGGCAAGGTTAAGGTAAGGTAGGTTGATAGGGAGTGCCTCTATCCAGGTAAATGCACCGCCTCAATAATCTGCGAGAAGGGCGAACGGGCGCACGGATCTCGTGTTCTTTGTTTCGAACCGCAGTAGTGTTTTCTTCAACGGACCTGCAGGGATATTCGTACCGAGCCCTTCTCATTAGTCCGCGCCCTACTTTTTTGTTCGAGAAGGGAAATTTTCCGAAACAAGGCGAAAGGATGCTTGTTTGGTTTGGTTTGCTGCTGCTGCTGCTGCTAACCCCGGTTTATATCCAAAACATGAGAAAACGTGGGACGGCAGGGATGGGCGAGCCTGGATGTTGAAACAGACGGATGATCGCAATCCTTCAACCCACGGCCAGTCCTATCGTGCTGTCGTTCCGCCGCGACGGAGGTGGCGATAAACCGGTCAATTGGTCGTTGTCGCCGAATGACAACCTCGGGGGCGGCGGTATCGATGAGTTCGAATAGATTCGGTTGTGGTTCCGCGTATGGGCATCACTTGAGACTCTAGGTGACGAGTTCTGTTCTAGGCCATCTCGCCACGCAGCTTCGGCGTAGCTCCTGAGACTGCTGCTTCGAGATCCTTTCGTCCTACCGTGCAAACTTGGTGAATTTGGCGGTAGTTTGTGTAATCTCGATGGGTTTCGCTTCGGAGAAGGTAAGAAGGGGTCGTCGCCAGGTACCGCCTCATCCGTCAAACCTGATCGTGCATTCGGTGCTCGTGCCAAAACCGCTCCGGGCGCTTGCGGAAGATCAAAGCTATACTTTCCTCCATCGCCGATGAATGATCTTGGTGATGCCACCTCAAATGACTGCCGTCCGCCATTGTGATATTGAATCACGCTCGGTGCTCTCCTAGTCGATGTTGCCGTAGACGGGTTTTGCGAGTGGCTCGGCCGCGTGGTATACCTATCCGTTACCTTCTCTGCTGACCGGTTTGATTTCCACGTTGCTATCTCGTCGTCTCCGATTGGGGTGATGCCCCTCTTTATCCTAAACATAGGCAATTTTTTCCGCCTGTCCCCTGTGCATAGATAGGCTGCCACTGCGATTAGAACTACACCAGTAACGCTTAAGATTGTGCTGAGTGCGATCGTTAATGTTGAGGTGCCGTTCCCATCAGTACTCGAGCTTACGCTGCTCGGCGTTGGAGTCGGGCTAGGCATTGTGACCGTGGCTGTAGGTGAAGAGGTAGATTCACAGCTAGAAGTAGTAGTAACAATTCCAGAGGCTTCACTCGATGGCGTTGATGAGCTGATAACACTTGGAGTGATTTTAGAGGTAATGAGAGTAGCCGGTGGAGGTGAAGCCACCGGAGAATTCGTATTCGTTGTAGCGATAGTCGTAGGCTGGGCTGAAGAAATTCCAGGCGAAGCTATAATAGTGGTTGGTGAAGAAAAAGCGAGTGTCGTTGTGCCAGTGGTGCTTTCAATGATAATTGACGTTGAAGTCGTTGCTGGACTAACAGGAGTTTCTCCCAGAGGCGTTGCTTCCGCGGGAGAAGTTACAATTGTAGGAACCAACGCAGGAGGCGGTCCTGGAGGAGTAACATCAGGATCTTGCGGGCCACGCTCCTGCTTCGAAAGGCTGGACGAGGTGGTAACCTCTGCAGAAGTAGCTGAGGATGTAGTTGTAGATATGGCCACCAGTGAAGGTGCCGTGGACTCTATTTAAATAGGTTAGCATACTAACTCAAGAAGTATTTGCCATTGTGCATAAGAACACCGTCCGTGACGAACCAGTCTGACTACTGCTTGAACTTGAATCTAAACTTGAACTCAGTGACGGAAGAATCACTGAGGAATTCCCGCTTGGGGTGACTTGTCGAGCGTCCAGCTGTGAAGTTCGTGCTACGCCAGGTAAGCCGAGTAAGAATAACATCGTGAGAAGCTTCATTGCGATCGTCCCAATCGTTCAATCTCAGCCCAGCTGGTCCAAATAGCTATCAAAGCTCACCACCGCGCAAACGATCGCAAATTGCCACATCCAGCCATTGGCCCGCCACAGCTGTCATGAATCACTCGCAGAAACGAAACAAAACGAAAGCAAGGGAAAGAAAAGTCGACAACTGTAGAATAGCAAGGGGAAATGGGCGGTAAGAAAATTGACTAACACTTAGCAAGTTGTCTCTCGCGATAGCCGGATGGGGTTTGAAGGCCGCAGCGGGAACAGGGAGTGCCAGCTTGATATCAATTCTACGGTAGGTAAAGCCGACGTCCCTTCAGCTAGAAGGGACAGGATCCCCGTAGTAGAAAGCGAGACTTGAAACGAGAGACTGGTGGAATACGAAATTACAGTATTCCACCCATCTGTATAAGAGCGTGTGCTCTATACCCGGGGTTGATAGATGCTGCTGGACGAAACGAAGCCGTGCGCAAAAGGAGAACAGCCCAACGCTTGGGGAAATAACGGGAGAGAGGGGAGACGGGCAAGGAGATCTTGATATTCCCACTTCGTGGAGGAGGAGAGCATCCACCTAGTCCGGCGTTACGAGGATTAACAGCACACCATGCCGTAAGGAAATGTGGATAACGCCCGCCGAAGAGGGTGTGTGGTTGTAATTTAGAGGGGAGTGGACCTCCTGGGCATATGTACGTACGTACGGGGAGGTAAGGTGAGGTGGTAGAGGTGCACGCTTGTTAATACACGGGACTTATGAGTTCCAGGTGTGTTCGCGCGGGTTGTTTCGAGAAGATGTATGTGGGTATAATATTTCAGAGCCTGATACAGGACATAGGACCCATGAATCACAATGATCGACAAGAGCTGGTATATGATCGTTAAAACTTGGTATGTGCACGGATAAGCAGCCTTGATTTCCTCGATATCATTATGCCCGTTAAAATTGTTGTTTAGAGGAATTCTCGTATGGCTTGCAGCTTGCAGCGCCTCGACCTTATTAACAATGTTAGACCTTGGGTTTCGGCTTGCAGGCGATCGCTGCAGTGCTCTAGAGCTGCTGTTGCTGCACCTCATGATACTTCTTACATGATACCAGGCTGCCAGGGACAGGGGCGGCGTTAGTTGGCGCCCCTCGGATAATACAAGAGAACCTAGCCAGGGTTGTATTCATGGTCAGACCCCACGACCGTAAAGGTTAGCTCACAAGAAATCCGTACCGAAATTCATATTTCGTACCGTACTGCACTATTAGCACAGACAGCAAGGAATTTCTTGATATGTATGAAATTCGAAGGCTGGTTGCTGTACGGCATTCCCGCGTTCCCACATCACAACCATTGACTTTCGTACGGAAGCCAATTCTGAATCTTCGGCAATGACAAGCGAGTCGTACCAATCAACGCCGAGGAGTTTAGGAACAAGGGCTAGGAGGTGCCATGTGTTCGCGGCCTTTCTTTTTCCTCTTGAGACAATGCCTTGGCCGAAAGTCTTCTTCGCCTGCCTTCTTTGGGAACGACTTTGGGAACCAGTGGAATTATTTCCTCATAGGGCGCCAACTTAGATTCAGGTACGCGAGGCATAAATGACAAGCATCGACGAATCAGAGCTCTGAGGTGGCTTTTTCACTTTGTGCAGACCTCGTGGATGGGTGGGGTGATAAGCGTATACTAGACTCAGTCGAGTTAGGCGCGAAGGGCTGCCAGTAGAATCAACCAGAGAGGAGGCAGGAGAAGGACAGGAGAAGGGGAGGAGGGGTTGTCCTTGGTTTAACGAATCGTAGGGCTTCGATGGCCGATTCGAGCAACTTGCCTATCTTCCCTTTACCTTACTTCGACTACCGAAAACGGACCCTCGCATCGGCATCCGTCGCAACCTGTGGGAACCGGGTTACACATTCCCACGCATTAGGTATGTTAGGCAGGGCTCGTCAGACCAATATGAACTAAGAATGACTCGGAGCGTCAACGTGCAAGAAACGTGCTTCCTATCGTGAGTGTGGGATTCGTCGATCATATGTGCTATTGTCTCGGAGGCTTTTACTGACCTCTTCCTACTTAGGTTTAAAGCAAGCTAAGTAGGGTAAATGGAACCATTGTTGGCCCTGTCCTGATTCTACAGCGTATCCCACATGGCCGCAAGAGCAATTGATGGTGTTTTGGTGCCAACGTACCGGGCTGGCGTTGTCCGTATGTGCAAGCCCTAGTATCATGCAAGCTCTTTAATAGAGCGAGAAAGATCTTGCCTTAAGCGGACAAGATGTGACAGCCTCCTGAATGATGTCTCCAAGTGATCCCATCTTCGGCTGTCAAGCGTGTTAGAGCCGAGAGCAAGCCACAGTCTCGGCATGGAGAGATAGTAGCCAATACGAATGACCCCCAAAAGCAAATTCATGTCTTCGCAGTGTAACCGCGGCTGTTGTTTCGAATGTAGAGGTATACTACTTACTGTACGTCATCAAAGTGCAAGATGTAGTAAGGATTTCGAAACAAAGCCTCTATATGCTGTGCTTCATGTGTTGCATTCAGCTTCGGTCCAATTGTGACCCGATCTGCCCGGCTTCATCGAGGTTGTGACTCCCGTTGGCAGTTCGGTGATGATCTAGACTACTATTGGTCAATCCCAAGAACCCACAGTCCGGGAGTTTTGATCCTCTTGAATTCCTGATTCCTGTTGCAACTACGGTACCTAACCCTGTCCGTCAGTGACAGGTATATGAGCTACCAAGATCTCGTATCGTCGAATCGGCAGGGACAACGGCGGCGGATCGGGGCTACGTGATTATTATTGTTTCTATCCCGCAGGTGACGAAACCGCCCAGACCTGTCGTGTACGGCCTTCATTGGCTTGTCTCCTAGCTCTTTGAGGCTCGCTCGACTAGATCCCAGAAGGCTCCATAAGGACAGCATAGGAGCATAGGAGCAGTCGGGCCCGAAATACTCATGCCGAACATTCATTAAGAGCTTACGGAATAGACGAAGGGATTCCAATCCAACTCTTCGCTTATGGTGTTGACAGCTGTTAAGAGCTTTAGGTCAAATGATCTAGTCAGATTGGCGGTCAAAGCAGAGTGCCTCCTGAGGCTCTAGATGCAGATTGGGTGATATCATGACGCGCAATTTCATGGCAAAGAATAAGTGTTGAATAAGCGTAGATAGCGATGCAACCTAGAAGGAATTAGGGAATTGGTCCAGCCCTTTTGAGTTAAAGAGAAAGTATCGATTAACGATGACTCCATAATTAACCGCAATAGATCCCGTTTAATCCGCCAAGTCGCTACCAGCTTAAACCCAATTTAGTTGTACCTACCTTAGTTTGGGAAAGCACGAGCCATAGACACCCTGAAACCTTGGCCCAAGCTCCAATGTTTCTCCAAAATTAAACAAAAATAAGTTCTACCGTCGAATATTCCATCATATTAACTCATCTCCAGACAACCCAGATTTCTCTTCTCGTTGGCGCAATTAGCAATTCAGCCACCACGATATCTGGGGTGCATATGATACGATTCTAGAGTCGACGCGCAAACAATTGCACATCATCTTTGGATTGACATTTTGATTTACGGCCGGCTTAACCAAGTCTGTGGTGGTTCCGCCGAGAAGTCCCGTTAGAGTCAAAGCACTTCTGCAAACCATCATTTACCTTGCTAGCACCCTAGACCGAACCCCGAAAGTTCTCACGCCGATCTCATTTGTCCGCGCGGAATGAGACAAATCCTATGTAAGAAGGGCTAGATTTGCATCTTTCTTCATTAGGAAGTAAGATATTTTATGTAGGTACTGCTCAAGATATGGTCGATGAAAGATTACGCTGACGATAGTTTCAAACATCCTCCCGTGACGGAATACTCGTTTGCAATGTAAGACGACCAGACCAAGTTTCCTATTGTTATCCAAAATTGGGCACACTCTCCGACGACCCATCTCTAATCTAATAAATAAGCACCTCGCTACCAGTTCATCAATCACATTTCGAGGCTGAGTTCGGATATTTCATTAAGTCTCCGAGTCATCACGATACTAGCCCACGATGCTTTCTCTGTAGGGCTGTTGTCAAATACGTAACCATCCAAAGTAAAGTCCTTAAGCTAGGTATCGCATCTGTCGGAATAGACAATTGAGCTAATCAAAATATAGACGACCACATGACTTGATCGAACTAGTTTAGCGAATGCATCCTCAGGGCGTAGCACTAACAAGTAACAAGGGAGCTTAACCCATGTTACCAGCCTACTGCTGAAGACCCTAAGGAACTTTGGTAACAACCTACTGCAGCAAGAAGAGACGAGGTGGTTCAGCTAACGAATCTATCGTGTAATACATCCATATCACGCTACCCAGCTCTATCTAGCTCTGTCTCGGACGAAGCATGAGACAGATGTCTACGAATCTGTGTACACCAACTCGAACTCCGCACACGTCCTCTGCATCGCAGTGCAGCTTACGCGCCGTACCTTACAGGTTGAGGGGTTACTCGACATGCTGTATGCAACGGTTTACTACGCAACACCTGCGGAAGGCTGGATAATTGCGCATGCTGCTGACGATATATTTAGGTTATCTGCCGGTCATCCAACGGGCATGCGTGGAAAAGCCTAAGTGCTTGCATCGTACATTGCATGCTGACATGTTTCAGAGCTTAGCTTTGCTTTCAGCCTTTTTCTCTCCTACAGCTAGGAAGAGTATGGAGTAGATAAGGCTTGATGCGGAGAAGGTTGCGAAGGATTCAATAGTCCTTCCTACAAGTGTGACAAATCTTTGGGATACGCGCTAGACTAGCCACCCGGTCTATCCTTCTCCTGATTCGTCCACTCTCTCTAACTAGAAAGCTTCTACTCTTCACCAGTTCGATCTAGCTTGGCTCATCCTTTCACCGCCAGTCTGACATGCTGGATCATACAATGTCGTTATTCGTTCAACCTATCGTGAAACATGCCACCTCGAAGTGTGGCTGAAAGACCCTTCACGAATAGGACCGCCTGAAGCTATCCTATTCCACACCGTCAGCTCTTAATTCAGACAGTCTATCTGTGGACACTAGTATGTAGGTGCTTCAGGTCGAAAGCCTAAACGTCTACTATCATCTAGGGCCATTTTATTATCCCCGACTCCCGCATAAGGATTAACTCGGCATCATTCGGTGAAAGATGAATCACGATGCTTCTTTTTTGTATATGTTTTTCAGACTAGGGCTCTTCCAAGGGCTTCAAGGGCCCATATATACGTGGCCCTTCCCGCTCGAATCGTATGCATATCATGAATCACGGCTACGGCATGCTACGCTCTTAATACCCAGGCTCCAAGTGGAGTTGATATCCGCCTTAGACCCTTAGCTAAGACGCTGCATTAATGACTTGCAGGTCTGTAGCATAACGTTAGATGTTAGTATGTAGGTGCTATTTCCCCCTCTGATCCATTTGCGATGAAAGACCTAGATTAGGGTCTGATTTTAACTTCGGTCGTAATTTTCAGCTGCCTCATACTAGCTATGCAGACTAGTACATCAGATTCATAATGGAGCAGTCTAGTTCCCACAACCTCCATAACTCCATCGTAGCTGAAGCTGCTAAGATATAACTGGCAGCTTACAATGCTGTCGATAATAGCTTAGGCTCACAGCTGTTCCACAACACACCACAAAGACCACCATATCCATTTTCTCTACATCTGCTGACGAATTATTAGATAGACATGGAGGCTGATCCAAGTTCAAGTTCGGTGATGTTGCCGTTGCTCCGAATATCAACGGAGTTCGTATGCGCTTAAGCTCACTATACCAAAGGAGGATGACGAGGGGACCGCGCTAGGTATATCGAGGATGCTTCAGGAAACGCCATCATCTTTTTGACATCTGCGGTGCAACCCTTCCTAGGTACCCAATCGCGATGGATGGCTGCATTATGGCAGGAAATTCCCGGTTCCTTGTCCGTGTGATCCTCTCGACTAAGAATTCAGAAAGCTATTACTCAGCTAGATCGAAAAGTCAATTTACAGGGCCTTTGTGTATACGTAATAAGGGGTACCAATGTTGACAACCAGAAGTAGTCTTCAAAACTTATTCTCACATGCCAAGTCGACGTCAATCTCCGTACTTTGTCAATGTGGGTCTATGAAGGTTATAGATTACTCTGAGTATACTCTCCTTCTCATCTATCGCATATTGGCCGCTTGAAATTTGCTCGGGAATCGGCCGCTCGTGACGCTGAAAATCAACCCGACGATGATCCCACTTCATGAGAGCACAACCGTCTTGTCCTCGCGAGCCTAGGCGCCGCCCGAAGACTCTAGTAGGTTGGGCAGTAAAGAACATTAGTCTATAATGCCGGTTCCAAGTCACGCTACCGTACACCAGCACGCCGGTGATATATGGCTCTCCGTGGGGGTTCCCTCGGCGGCGAATGTCGATAAAGATCGTTACCTGCAGAAGCATATTATATCTCGGTGGTAACATTAATCCCATGAAAAGTCCGATTGTTCCTGAATTTATCATATCTAAGGCAAGTCATTGGCTCACGTCGCTCCACGATAGTGACTAAACTGACCTCATCTCATAGAACTACTCTCTTGGCCAAGTGAAGAAAATTGCGACTACCAAGTCTGTCAAGATATGGCTCGCAGAAGAAACCAGACCCCTAACGACGTAGCGACGCTAGCCGAGTCACTGGCAGGCGAAAGCTGCACAGGCACGGAGCTATTCACTATAACCGGTTGTATTGAGTGGTATCCCTCCACCACTCCCCTATATCAGACTCTTGTTAACATATTATAGGCATACCGGATTCCAAGTCTATGGAACAAAATAGGTCCATCCGGGTTATGATATCTTTGCTGTACAACCCACCTTCGATGAGTGGCAGAGTGCTTGATTCGAGAACGTCTAAATTGACGGTGTAGTTTCATCAAAGAATATTTACAAACACCATCTCGGCTAGCCAGAGGCTTGATCTGTGCGCAGCACATAAATTTGCCATTTATAATCCATTCCGACTTAGATCCGGCGCAGAAGCACATAATCGAACATCATCGAGTAGCGATATCAATCAATATCGCGAGTCCTAGTGTTGTGATAGACAGGCACAGGCGGCCTCGCTAAGCAACTTGCAGTGCTGAATCGCCAAGCGGTCAACAGTAGACAGGGGGCTCACCCACGGACGCCCTTCACCTGGGTCGAAGCAACAAGGTCATTTCGCAGAGATATACAAGAAGTAAGAACGAGGACTCTCAAAACCCAGGTTTGACTCAGATCTTCGCCTTTCTAGACCAACCTTCTTTCGGAGATTTTTAATTTTATGTTCCATCATCAGACCTCCTCCATCCCCCACTCAATCGGGGTTGCATGGATGATAGATATGTCGTTTACTGCTTAGGGGAACATGCTTATGATAGGAGCGAACCTTGGAACGGGTGGCCGTGCGTTCATTGCGAGGGCGGGCCTGCTTCGCGCGGCTACGAATCGTAGATAGGCTTCGTACGGCTCTCGCTGACAGCGGGATGGCGAGGCTGTAACCATGGGCTCACCCGGTTTGCTCCTAACGATCCCGAGACGCGAACCCGACAACTAGATACAGGATACATCACGCCAGGAACTATGGTTCGAAGTTTCGAGGCGGACATCCCGGAGTTTATTTTCGTATACATAGCGTGGCTTGTCATGACGAGAATTGCAACTGTGGAACGACCCGAGGCTTTCCATCGTATTATTCTACGTCATCGTCTGGGATGTCAATCAGGGTCTCATCTAGACACGAGGACATAGTCCTGGAAGCAATCCTCGTTTTTGATCGTCTAATCCCTTTAGCCCCAGATAGTCACTTGTTGATACGTCGTAAAATGCAAGATAGCCTCACGTAAGTCTCACTCGGATCAATCGTGTAAGACTAATTTGAACAACTCCACACCAAAAACGTGTATATTCGCCCGTATTATAGCCCTGATCTACGTGTTTACTGAACCTTTCCTCGAATAATAGCGCCAGCCAACCTCTTCCAAGTAAATTGTCATCTCAAACGAAAATCGCCCAAATTTTAAATGGGCGAGAGACGCGACCACCACCACGCCCACCGGGCTACCCCATTTCCGGACTTCGGCAACGGGCACGCATACCGCATCGGGCGTTCGAGCTTTCCCAAAGCGGGACCCCTCGTCGATCGACGCCCCGGCGAGATTTCCTTAGCATTCTTTTTTTTTTTTAAAGGGGAACAGACATCTGGGGAGCTCATTACCCTTTCCGGGTTTTGACATATGTACGTAACTGTATCTTTCGTCCGCCTCTTTACATATCACTACATACATTTCGACCTCCCCCTGAACAAATAAAACCCCCCGCCTAGGTATGTAGCTTTGTTTAATTTCCTACATAAGCTTAATCTTCCTTGCTTCGGCCGCTATTCACATCTACGGATAGCTTCGCCCATCTAGTGGGCTATATCTGGCCGGTTTTATACCCCGGAGCGGGCGCTGCTGGCGCGCGGACTATGTAACATAGGCGCATTTGTTCCAAGTAAGAGCAGAGCTTGGAAATCTACCTAGGCAAGGGGAAGAAAACTTAGTCTTCAAGATCGGATATCGGTATTTCCCGTTTTTTTTAATTCCACGCGCTAGAGTTGGGCGAAGTTTAGTTGCTCGATGAGAGGCAACGAGTACGTACGTGACATCCGTTCAGGGGCGCGCCCGTGGTATGCCGTGCATCCGCCGTTGCGTCGCCCCTCTCTTTGCTGCTGCTGCCGCTGCTGCTACGTTCGGTATGCAAAGACAATGCAGGACGGTGCCGAATCTACTAGTTGGCAAATGAGCGGCTAGGAATACGTGCGATGCGAACGATATCGCGGACGAGTGGCGGACCTTGCGTGACGCATGTACGTATGATCTCGAGGACCGGTGTCCTCTTACCATGCTGCATAATAGGTAGATAGGTTGGTGGTTGGCTTACCTACCAGTCCCTATTACCGTACGTACATACATACATACGGGTGCAGATATGCATGTTCATCTCAATATCGACAATATCGGTCGGTACTTAGGGCGGCAAGTTCCGCGGACGAGACTCCCCCTAGGGGGGCGGTCCTCCCCAGTCCTCCCTAGACATGATATCCGTCCTTGCATACTCTGGGTAGCTTAGCTTACCGAACCTGCCAGTCAAATGACTTGCTTCTGGTCCACATACGCTGGTATGTAAGTAGTTAATAAGCATAGGGGACCTAGATACATACACTAGTTAGAGACGGATAGAGATCGTACATGACTCAGGTATGTAGGCCCTCATGTAAAGCAAGGTACCCTGGGTAGATAGGTTTAGTTAGTGAGGTAGCGGAGAGGCCAGGGGGACTCGGACGGGAATGGATCGATCATCGCGGGAGCAATGCCCACGGGGTCGATTTTTGTTCAGACCTGTCATTTATGACTCGCTTTTGCAGCGGTGATACGGTCCCCCCGTCCGGAAGAACCCGAGCACGGGCTCCAAAGTCGCGTATCGGTTCGCTGGCGAGCATATGTATGTACGTACGTGGGTACGTAGGTGGGTTTTTGAGGCGCCGATGTAGGTCGATAGATGGGCCTCGCCATCGGTAATAACGGTCGCGATGAGAATTAATTATGCCGCTTTTTGAAAACGTCGGGGCGGTGGTTGGAGGTGTCGGCCGGGATGTAAACAGAGAGAGATCTTCACGGTATTTAGCCCTCTTTATCAAGATATCGTCATAATAAACGTGTGTATATGACTAGGTACTATGCAAGCACTTTACCGCTTAGAGGAACTATCGACTTATTGTCGGAGAAGCCATACATACATATGATATCCCTATTTCATTCTTGCTCGCTTAGTAGATGTTGCGGTGTGCGTTCCAACATGAACAATATTCGAAACTGTTCAAGTTCAAATGTCTACCTGATACATGTATTGAATCTGTAGATAGAATATAGTACATATCATTGCGTTTTTACGTACCTGGCACTCATAGATACCATATGTGTATGCAGTTTATCTAGCAAGTTAGACAAGCCTGTCCTAATCCTATATCAATATGCACTGAATATAAGTAGGTGTTTATCAGAAATGGATTGTCTTCAGGTCAAAGCAGTCCCTTCATCTTCGCGTAGATAGTCCTCAGAGTACCTATCAAGATACTCGATACTCCATCTATGCTTGTAGCAACCACATTCACGTACGAACATTCATTCCGACCACATACGTTGGGCCGGGGGAAACCAAAAGCACCTACTAATAGAAGAAAGAACACAGAACTCATCAGCGGCTGAATTATCGTGGTATTCATCTATCAACCAGACCTAGCAGAACCATAGGTATAGGTACCTAGATAATTAGAAGACCCTGAACTCAATATGCCTTCATCAACCACCTCACCTCAGTTACCCCTTTCCCAACCAACCCCTAATCAATCAACTCCATCTTAGCCCCCCTCTTCCCCGTCCCCTCATCCTTAACATCGCGAATCCTCACCTTCACCTTCTGAAAAAGCTCCACGCACACCTCCCTACTGCCACTAGTCCGCAGCACGTACCCCTCAGCATCAAACACGCTCTCGGGCTCCGGGTCCGCGAGGTCGCGCAGGCGGATCAGGCCCTCGATGCCGAAGCGCGGCACCAGCACGACGAACCCGTTGCTGAAGATCTTCATCACGAACCCTTCCTCCTCCGCGACGCGGCCGCGGAGCGACTGCCCCACGTAGTACGCCACGCTCGCGCGCCCGGCCAGCTGCGCGTTGCGGTGCCGCACGTTGATGTTCTTGCACACCGCCTCGAGCCTGCCGCGGCTGCGCGTAGACGCGTGCATCGGCTCGTAGTCGATCGCCGCCGCGAGCTGGCGGTGCGCCACGAGGTCCGCGTACCGGCGGATCGGGCTCGTGAAGTGCGTGTAGATCTCGGAGGCCAAGCCGTAGTGTCGGAACTCGGGATAGGCCTGGGTGCCGGCGCAGAAGTACTCGGCGCTCATCATGCACCGCGTGGCCATGATGCGCACGAGCGTGTTGAAGAACGGGTTTTCCGGATCCACGCACTGGTCAAGAGAATCGGCGAGCGCCTTCGAACTGTCGAAGCGTAGCTCTATGCCGCGCTTAACCTTGAGCTGGTTGGCCAGCTCGTCGAAGTTGGTCTTGGGGGGTGCGCCGTGGCGTCGGAGGATGGCGGTTTGTGGGAAGGCTTCGTATATCTTGCTTGCGACGCTGATGTTGGCGAGCAACATGAATTCTTCTACGAGGGAGTTGGTGTCTAGAAGGGCCTTGGTCTTGACGTCGATTGGATCCGAGGTTTCTGATTCCATCTCAACCTTGACTTCGGGCGAGGAAAGGCTGAGAGCTCCGGCATCCATTCGTTTCTGCTTTAGCTTCTTCGAAAGCATCAATAGAGTCCTCATGCCCTGCGTCAAGTCATCCTGCTGAGAGGCATCGTCGATACGTAATTGTGCCTGTTCGTAACTGAATGCTTCTCGGGACTTGATGACTGACTTGGTGAACCTCACATTGACGATATCGGCTGATTGGTTGACCTCCCAGATGACTGAGAAGGCGTAACGTTCTACGTATGGCTTCAGAGAGCAAAGGTCGGTTCCAAGTAACATCGGAAGCATATCAATACGTTTATCCACCAGATAAACAGTTGTTCCTCGGATACTCGCTTCCATGTCCATGGCGTTGCCTGGTTTCACGAAATGTGAAACATCAGCAATATGCACACCAACTTCAAAGTTTCCATTCGGCAGTGGCCTTGCGTGTAGTGCATCATCGATGTCTTGGCAGCCGGGAGGATCGATACTGCAGATTAGGAGACCACGAAGATCTTCTCTATCTTTCCAGCCAGGATGATCTGTGCTAGTAGGTACTCTCCAATCATGACCTTCGGCAGGCAGACAATCCAATACAGTCTTCGGGAAAGGCCGGTACTGAACGTCGTACTCAAGCAATAGTGCCTCAGTTTCTGCAGCCTTGGTTTCGAGTTCACCTAGAGATCTAACGAAGTGACCGATAGGATGCCTAGATTCGCGATCCCAGGCGTCGATCGTAACCAATATTCGCTTTCCCACTAGTTCACCAGCCTGTCTTGTGCGTATGCGAATCTTTGGTACCTTCTTATCCATTGGGATGAGGAAGACTGATTCTTGCTTTCTGCCTTGCTTTCCGGCGTCGCTAGCGGATGAAGGATCGATATGACCAACGTATTGGCGCCAGTTCCGTTTGATAACACCGACTACTCTCGCGGTAGGTTGTGGCCGACCTTCCGTGCTTAGACCTTGTGTCTTCTTTACTTGCTCTTGCAGAGCTCGTCTCTCCTGTTCTGTGACAATATCGCCTCCGTCTTCGTTATCGGCGTTCTCATTCTTCGTAATGGCTTCTTCCTCGATGATCTTCGTCGAGGGAGCCTTCCATTGGTCCTGAGGGAGAACTTCTACAACCACAACGTCTCCGTCTACTGCGCGGTTGATGTTTTCTCGTCCAAGCACGAGAAGGGCCTTCGGAAATGCGGGAACTTTGATCGAGGCTTCTAGGTAATTGTATGGTGATACATTGAAAATTCCCTGGTGCAATATACCGCCCTTGACACCAGTCATCATTTTGGACAGAGTATAGTGCTCTGGGTATAAGAATTCGGATGCGTTCTTGTCTCTGGAGATTCCTCGTTCCTTAGACTCTGGAATCATGTCAAGAAGTCGATCTGCATCCTCGAGCCCGGAGACGTAGTCGCGCAACGTCATAGCGGGAACATTCTCACTCTTCGCCTTCTGTATATTAAGTCTGTCATCCGTGAGCATAATAGTAACTGGCATCCGTTTGCCTGTTAAGTGTTCGTTGTACCACTTGACGGCTCGTCGGACTGCCCTATCATTTCTGTCGTTAATAATCTCGCCTTCTTCCCGAGTAACGTAGGTCTCGAGTCGGAATTCGTTAAAGAATACATAAAAGCGTTTGTCTTGGCTTTTTGTTAACCCGATCAGGCGGTTATACAATGGCAAGGACCTGTTGCGTAGCTCTTCCAAGACGGTCTGTAAAATAACGACATCATAGAATGCAGAGCTTTGCTCAAACAGATCCATAGCATTTAGCAGAGCATTCGTATCCGGGACGAGATAATGTCCCTGTGGATAGGTCTTGGTGCCTGCAGGTTTGTCCGAAAGGACGAAGGGGCTTACTGAGCAAGTGTTAGCTAGGATAACGGATGAATACAGATGTTATGAAAACTCACACTCTCCGCTAGAGCTCCTCGGAGCACTTTCCATACATCTCGAACATAGCTTAGAGGAGCAGGGAATATCTTGTCGAAGATAGACCTCTCGTACAATCTTCTGGACCTTGCCGCTCTTGGTAGACCTCACGTAAATCTTGCTCGATAGGTTTGGAGAGTTCGGGTCACCGCCCTGAGGCCTCTTAAGACTTGTCATCTTGGTATTTGACTCTTCTTGGTTTCGTTGCGTTCATTTGGCGTTGAGTCGTTTAAAGGTAGATGACGGTATGAAGTATGAAATTTCATGATACAAATGAAGATGAATTATGTAATGAGCATCGGGCAAGGTCAAATGTCTTATCGATAAGGATCTGCTTAGCAGCTTAGGTAATGTATCTATATATCATCAGCTGCCAATGGCCGCCAACAGCCGTCACCGGGCCGCAACTTTTATACTCCATCTAACAATACAAATGAAACCAACTGATTAGATCGTGAACATTCCCATCCGTTCATTGGCTTTTTGACATTATTCTGTTTACTTCATGAGATCTAGTGATAGGTCAGTTTCATCACTACATATTCAACCAAGCTTAGAGCGTCCGTGGATACAGAGGTCGTTATTCACACTTTGACCTATCGCACCGGAGACATCTTCACACAAAATGATGCTCATGTTCCATCTATCTAACATAAATATCCTATGAATAGTACTTACACTTTGCAAGCGACCACATAAAATACAACATTGGCACTCTTCACAAACACTACCGAAGACAGTGAAACTTGCATGAGATATGTAAACAATTACTACTCTCCGCTTCTCCCCACCCACACAACCCCATCGGCTCTTCGTCGACGTCGAAAATACGACTCAAGGCCTTCATGTAAAACAGCACCTGCTTTGCCGCCCTTAAATTTTCCTCGCCCCGGGGAATGCGACGCGGTCGCGCGGATCTATATTAAATCTGACTCATATGATCGACTGAATTCAGCCGGCAGATTTATCCCGTCCACGCATCTCCGCCCTCTCATTGGGTCTCTTTCTTCTCGCCGACAAAACCTCGAGCAAAGCTGTCTTCCAGTCCGCGGGGATCGACGTACATAATGTTGAATGCTACGGCGGCTGCATACCTTGGCATAGACATCGACATAAGTCGCCGCCGCCTGCTGATCTTAAAAGAAGTAGGGACGTGCCAAAATCTGGGGCCATGCTACCAAGGTAATCTACAAGATATTTCTGGAACATGCGTAGGAGAATAAAAAATGAAATAAAAAATAAAAACCCCGAAAAAAATGACCCGGGTTGCTGTGGCATAGACAGGATGGGGCGCATCGAAGACCCCGCTAAGGATCGCCGATGGGCTCGTGAAAAAGGAGCTTCGTACATACATACCTATACATACATGTGCACTGTTCGCGGCCTCGGAGGCGACGAGGACTACACTACGCGATAAGAAAATCCATGGGAAATGTACATAGGCTCTACGTACGTATCTTCCCCTTCTAAGCTGAAGATCTGATGGCGGCGAGGCATGTGAAAGACCGTGTTTGCAGTTGTTTGTGGCGAACAAAATGCATGGAAGAAAAAATACCTACCTACGTCTACCATTCTCTATACGCACACATACACATACACATACACATACATATACACATACATATACACACACATACCTACCTATCTTACACACCTACCTAGCCAAAAGAATTTCTAGATACATGATCCCATCCGCGCTTTACGCGTCTCCTCTCGTCACCACCCATCATCAACGGCCGTGATGCGCGGTGGCGATGATGGGCTCAGACCCGTTCGATGATGCCAGCAAGCAGCCGAAAAGGTCGTCCGTCGCCCCCGTCCCGTCCCATCCCATCCATAAAGGAACGATGCTGCCTACTTACTTCTGAGACAGAAGGACAAGAAGGCAAACCAACTCTAACCAAGACCAAGAGCGTGAACAGCATACGCAGACGCAGACGCAGACGCAGAACCTGTGGTACCACTTCTAGGCAGCTAGGACGATCCCGCATCAGATGGGAACTTGGAAGGGTAGGGGGGAGGGATGAAATTTTTTGGTCGAGCTTGCATCTTGGGCGACATTTGGTGACGCGTGTCGATATATTTCGGCCCTAGTATACGTAGGTTGGTAAAGTAGGTTGACTGGAAGAGAGAGTCGTGCCATTGTTGTTCTACCCGCGGGCCTACCCGGACTGGAGACTGGAGACTGGAAGGCCACTACGAGGTAAGAGACTGGAGTACGATTATCCTCCTCGCAGGGCCGGCCAGCCAGCCAGGCATCGACGAGTTGTTTGTTAGATCTTGCTTTCGTATGGATGCGTATGGGTCTGGGAAGAACAGACTTGCAGTAGTTAGAAATACCCTTAAAACTACCTAGCTGCCTGTTTTTTTCCTTGGTAAAGTTGCGATACCGGAAGAGAGAAAAAAGAGGGACGGGGGGCCCTTTGGAGCATTTGTTATGAGACTGTATGGATCCGTATAGGACTGTCCTGCCCTGTCCTGCCCTTTCCTGTCCTGTCCGGTCTTATCTTGTCTTCGGTAGGTCGTCGAGCCGACTTCTGACTCAACTCGTCTCGTCTGATCTGAAGCGATCAAGCGACTCGCTCCGACGGCGGATGGATGGAAGGAAGACAGACAGGAAGAACAGGCAGACAGAACGTCACTTCCGAATGTCTCTTAGATGGTTACCTCGAAAATACCGGGTTGGGAAGCATTCGGCAGAGGTTGGATAAGGTTGAATGATAGGAAGAGTCGATTTAAACATGAAACATTGCCATCAGCCACCGTTCCAAAACAAGAACGACACGAGAGAGGAAGCAGCAGCAGCAGCAGCAGCGTAAGAAACAAGAACAGGGACGAGCTTTCTGTAGTAAGCTTTCTGCTGCCCGCACCACCTCCCTTTCCCTAAGCCTCTAGGAACTCTGCCCGAATGCTGTGGCACCCCTGAGGTGTTGCCATATCGGATGACCGCTGTGGTTTCACCGATTGACGACAATCCTCGGACTCTACGATGATTCGGCCGGCCGGGGCGAGGGGGACGAGGGAACGAGTCGTAGATGAGATTGGGTTTGAGATCTCTCGCCAGATCGACGCTTTTTCTCGTCCCATCTCATCCACGCAACCCACGCATCCACGCATGGCCCGCGCCTGCATCGCGCAAGAACTACTACGTAACAATAGCATGATAATTCTAATTCTCGTACGTATAGGTCTCGTGGCTGATGGGTAATGTACGCATAGTAGTAGGGTTTATGGGTAATAGGCCTATTTTCGAGACCCTGACTTGCAGATGCGGCCTAGCGCCAAGCAAAAGCCCATTCCCTCTGCCGGAAGATCAGGACCCCTCGCCGGCCGTGCTGTCATTAACTGCCCTCTCCTATAACCTAGGAATCTTGCGTCATCAAGGAACCGGTCTACATCCCCGGGCCGCAGCCGTCTCTCTCTCATACATCGAAGACAGCAGGAAAAAGGGAAAAAAACAGGGCATGAAAGAGAAGAGATTTTCAAATAAAACGAAATGCTTCGCTATGTTTGAGATGATGATCCTTCCCCCTACCTATAGCGCCGGCCGGGTTATCGCCGCCGGTATGTACGATAATTTTAGTCTGCTAAGTTATTGAGAAACTAAGGAGCTCAATTGTGGGTTCGTCCTGCCCTGCAAGAGCGGGTAAACAGGGGTCTGGGGATCTCCCGCTTTGCTGTGCCATGCAGCAAGCAACGGACGAGCAGGTCATGGCAATGTCTGAGCGCCCTCAGTGGGCCGGGAAGCCTGATAGAACCAGATCGTGGAGTGCACTCCCTACAGAGAATCTGCCGAGGGAGGGCTGCGAAAGGTGGCGGGCATGGGGGGGTAGTGGCATTGCCGCCTATGTATCCTCTCGCTGGGGCGGAATTATGATTAGGGAAGATCATGGCTGTGCTCGCCTAGGTAGATCAGACGTCAGAAGAGGCTTACGCTTGCAGTCTCGTTTGAGGAACCTTTTGGCCCGGTTGGCTCGGACGATTAGGAGGGGAGGGAGGGCGAGAAAGGAAAGGCGCGCGAGCGTGGGGTTCGGCGCAAGCCACATACTAGAGTGGTCAGGTATAACACGGGGGAGATAAGGATTTGTTTAGTTTTAGCTGGGTAGTTTCAGAGTCTTTGAGAAGATGAGTGCGACGCGAAGGAGACGCGACGGCATGCCGAACGTATTCCTGGAATATCTTGTCAGCCTGTATGTACGAAGATGCTTGGCGCGAGAGAAGAAAGAGGATGTGGGTGTGGCAGATGGGGATGGTGGCGCTACGCTAGGAACTGCGTAGACACTAACCAAGCAAGTCCTAGCAGGAAAAGGGACTGGGGAGTGCCAAGATGGGATCCATGGGCTGCCATGGATGGGATCGTGGTCGTGGACCGTGGACCGTGGGCGGCTTGGGCGGTTGCATTTAAGGTAGAGTGGAGATGGACAGGCGCCAAGATGGATCATGATTTGCAGATGGTCTGTGGGTTCCGGCTCCAGGCTTGGAACTTCAAGTATCAGCTGGTTGGTTGACGAGACCTCATCTCATAGCTCTGGCCAATGATGGCCAAAAGTCCCGGCCCCAAAGAGCGATGAGTCCCCCCCAAGCAGCCAAGGTACGACCGAGGCAGTCCGTTCTACTCAGCATCGACACAACCCCTAACCAGGTAGCCTAATGTTCCTCTTTGTGTCCCCCTCCTCTATACTCTTACTCACGCCTGCTTTCGGTCTTTATTTCGCTTCACACCATCTTCTTCTCTAGTATACCGGTTTCCCCAGACCTTCTGGGTCCCTGTACGGCGGGACTGTTTGCCCATATATCCATCTATATCAGGGATGGTCCCCACTGATCACATGAAGGCTTATAGAATCTAGAAATTCTAGTCTTCTTCCCTATCTATATTTGGGCACCTGCTATAGATCTAGAAGGTCTAGCTCCCGTCCCGCTGTCTTCCTTCGATAGCAAATAGGTATAGCGATGGAATCGATCCGTCAGGTGAGGGGTAATTCCATGGAATCCCAGGTCGACGTCTTCTCGACGGAACAACTGTTCCCGGTCGCCCTTTGACTGACTAGTACCGGGGATAAGAAGGCTATAAGCTTGGGCTTCTGTTACGCTATACGTATTAGGTATGTATTGTACGTTACTCGTCCAGGGCGCAGTCTCTCTATGAGACTATAACCCATGACTTCGGAGAGTAAAAGTTGGTCGTTTTCATTTTGGAGATAATTCATTCCGTCAACGGCTTCACATCCGTCAGATTCCGCATGACGG